GAAGTGTTGGCGTCAATACTATAAAACACTACTTCAAAAGGCTGTGGCTGGTTTCCATAGCAACCATTTTGAGTAAAACTCTAGAAATTTAATTTCTCTACTTGAGTGCAATAGCACACAATTGATCTTTCTTCACCATATTTAAACAAACTTTTTGGTCCATATTGAGTGTACCATCCCACCTTAACTTAGCTTTTCACGATTTTCCTTTCTTCAAACACTCAGTCTGGTGTAAGAACAGGTTATTAAAAAGAGTATCTTACCTGCTTAATTTCGTCATTCGGGAAAACGAAATTTTTATATTCGTGATCCGTGATCCTCTAATTTTTCCGTTCGTGAACCGTGCNCCCACCCCCAGCCCCAATGTGCGACCCTCATGAGTCATTTACAACTGAACATTTTGTCAAAAAAATTACAAATGCCAAGCAAATGCCCGGTGAGAGATGGGGGATGAAGGGGCTTGGTAATGTCATCATACACTGTAGGAGACCTGTCGATACAGCTGATGGTATTGCAAGCTCAGTCGGCCTTTTTTTTCTGATTCGTCAGGTGAATGGACAGTCATTAATTGGGCCGGCACAGAAACCATCTGAAAGAGATTGTTTGGTTCTGATTCGCAGATACGGGAACAACTTCTCCCTGACATATCAAACGGGTATGAACGACATAAATTGATAACTTGTCAATCACAAATTGTCTCTAGGCCTTTCTGTTACTGAGCAACGGATAGTTCTAGACTGCGAGCCCCTACCTGGTATAAATTCGCGTGGAGGAGTTCAGGAGCGGGAACAAAAACCGACTACTTGTAGTGTGAGATAGTTTGCACCTTTGCGCTTTACCACGAATCACCAGCGTGTCGATTTAAAATTTTAGACTTAATAAAATTTTCTCCTGGTTGGTCGCGGGGGACCCTGACGTCTGTACTTGACCATGCTATAATTTTTAATTATCGGCGGATGACCCCATCAGTCGTTACCAGGGGCCCGTTTCTCGAAGGTCCCGAAAAGTTTTCGCAAACGGAAAGCCGTAGCAAAATCTCAAACCTTTTGATTACAGAGCTGTTTTATTCACATATTCTTAATATAAACAGAGGTTCCATTCCGTACAAGAGGTTTCAGGCGTATACACCTCTCTGTCTTTAAATACCGATGAACTAAAAATGGCTTTTCGGGCCGGAAAAGTTTCCATGGCTTTCGAGAAACGGGCCCAAGGACAGAATTTTTCTTTTAAGAGTTTGAAGACGAGATATAAATTCATACTGATTTGGTCCGAAGAAACGGTTCGAAGCGGTTGAGATAAGGGTTTTTCCAGGATGAGCAACCCAACCAGAGATGGCACTTTAGTTACCATTTATGACTGGTTTACATATACTGTCATTGTTTTTCCCTGATGCATGCATATAAAGCTGCATCAAAAACTGGAAACTGGAACACAGCCAGAGAAATTAGCAAATGAAAGGAAATTCCCACGTTCAGTTCCGTATGTGGGAAGAAGGCCTCCTCTAGAGGTCGTCCATAATTTTCGAATGGAACGGATCTTCTGGGAATCTTCTGAACCATTGGGCTTTCAAAACGAAATTTTCGATTGTTTGGCAACACGAAACTTGGTCTAGAAAGACCTCTTTATGATTACATAAATTGTCCATCCGGGTCACATGGCTAACTTGTGAACCGGCAAACAGGTCACGTGACAACAGTTGCTCCGACAGACGTGAGCCTGGCTATCATCTATGATGCCTTTGCGGTGTATTTTCGCGGAGAAAATTACATTTACCCTTCCCACTGGTGCAAGATTTAGCCTTCGAAGCTAAGGTGAGTGTATTGACAACATTTAACGTGTAGTTCGTCTGAAAGTTGAGTGTACAGTCTGGTAGATGGTCTTCGATCGGACGTAACGTCCGCTGGGGCTGGCTGGCTGTCAGATCGATAGACCGCACGCGATGGCGCATTTGAAACCGATAGCCGAGCAACGCGCTATTATCCCCAAACTAACCAAATCTGCGAAAGGAGAAGGCATTCCTGAACATTTCTTGCCACAAAATTAAACTTCTACCTTAGTTTTCCAGAAATTTTCGGTTCACTTCGGGGAACCGACAGACAAATTCGTCTAGCGCGCACAGGCAGACTGTATTCTCAAGACAGTCAAAGAGCACGATCGCTTTCGTTCTCATTTACCCTAACACTCTGGATTCTTTGATGTGTCCATGCTATGAATAAAACTAGAAGGAACTATTTTAAAAGCTACGGGATGTTTCTACTCTCTTCCTGCGTGTTTACAGTCCGTCTGAACGACCAGTTTCAATGCATCATAACCATCGTGATATAGTATCGAACGATATTGTTTTAAACAAAGTCGAGGGAAATATACGAGTTAAACTTAAATGAGATGTGCCTAAGGATGGAAATTCTGGAGAAAATGGCTTTTTTTTAACAAAGGAAGATTAATAGAGATAGCTAATTAGACAAGTTATTTGTCCAAGATGGGCAACTTGTACATGTAGTAGGGCAAGAGGCCATTTTCAAATTGGACAATTTCAGATAGCTTGTCTTTTACACGAGTCTATCTCAAAATGACATCTATAAAAAAAAATTATGATTGGTGATTGATCCTGTCAGGTAATCAGTGGGCGATCACTTGATGTTCAAAGACAGGAAATATCCAATTTCAAATTTATGTCATTCCATACAATGTACCTGTAATTGGATACCTATGTCATTATGTGAGCTCTAATGGCTTCCTTCTTAATGATCCCAACAGTTTTCATGACTTACAGAAAATAGTACTGACTTTTTCACTCAAAAGTAGTTCTTAACAGACTTAACCCTCTAAATTTGTTATTTATGCGATTGTTTAGTAATATTGGACCTCATGCCCTACAATTTTGGGGAGTAATAGTGGTCATAGTTTAAAATTGACCTCGCGCTGCGCTCTCGTCTGATTTTGAAATTACTCACCTGATTGCTTCCTGAATTGTACGCCACTCAATCCAATTACTATTACAAATGTGAAAACTGAATGTCATGTCCAAACATGCTGTTTAGTTATATATCCATTCACTCATGGGAAGAAATAAAGTTGAGCTCATCATGGGGACTTTGATTGTTCTTGTGGCTGGGTTGGTACCCAGGAAGGTTGGGGNGGGGGGGGGAAGTGACAGAGATGATTGAAAGATTTTTTTGGGTTTGAATATAAAGCACAGGCAACCAAATCAAGTGTGTCTGGACTATCTCATCCATGTGCGGCATCCCGTTTTCATCATTAAATCTGCCTATGGACCACCATGCACGCTCTTATGATCACATTGGTAATCTTTGTTTATTATGAATCTATGCTAGGAACTGAGCAAAGTCAGTGAATGTTTACACTTTTGGATCGGCATGGGCGGTAAACATGTCAGACCATCGATATCGCAACAAACATCGGTCACTTTGGCCTCCCAGAAGAGTAAGCACCAGGTTATCTGCATCACAAGCTACAATACATTATGATGCGTCACATCACTACGACAACACATCAACAGTTGCGTCCCCTGCTGGAGTCGACATTCCTGCAGAAACAGTAATTGTGCATGTGCCAGGTTTGACGTCTGCGAGAAGTCCTGCTAATGACAGCCACAGTTCTGAAGGTAATGAAATTAATTAAATTGTTTATTCCAGGGTAAATTTAGTACCTGATTGAAAAGTACAGTGTTACTGTGATATTGAAATGAGGGGACCTGGAACAAGATTGACCAATCAAAACGATCAATCAATTAATGTAGAAGGATTTAAACAATAGCTCTAAAAGAGAATTTGAAACTCAACAAAGTTGCAGAAAGTTGCAGACCTGTTAGGAAATATTGTCAATTTTTAATTGGCTTGTTTTTATCCCCGTTAAATTTCAAGTGGTTTTCAATGATTTTGATTTGGGAGTGACTGTCAGAAATGAGTTTTGAAGCTAATTTTTTTCAGCAAAATTAACATTGTTATATCCTTCATAAAAATTGTCGTAGTCAAATTTAACCCTGGCATTTTTTAATCATTTCTTCATTTTCATAATGCTATTCATTGCCCACTCTGCATGTAAGATTGGCAGTGTTATACATGCATGCATGCAAATTTTGAATTTTTACCTTTTTGGTGTGAGAGTGGTAACCTTATGCTATTTTTAGCATGTAAAATTCTGCTCTTAAGCGTACTGTATCCTAGCTCTAGTATTTCTCTATTAAATATGGGACCGATATTACTTGAAAGTTTGTTTTCTGTAATATGGGAATGACAAAAATGTACTAAAATAGAACAGGTCAGTTACACTCTTGTCATTTTGCTGACCTTTGATCACACCAGTTTTTCCTTGTTCTTTATATACACATAAGAGCATGGAAAATGAGCCCGACAGTAGGGTAATGGCCAGTAAAATAAAAACAAATATGTCAGTGTTACATTTGGCTAAAAATGTGCACAATAAATATATTTGTGATTCTTTTTGTGATTAATATGATTCTATATTGTTCCTGACTCTGTTACGTTTCAATATTCAAGTGAACCTATAAAAGGTAACTGTAACTTTATTATTAATAAAAGAAATGGATGATAATTAACCATTGCAGTCAAATATAATTTCAGATATATGCCAAAGGTTGCAATATGTAACTGTATAATTACATGTACATTTGCTTGGGTGTTTCATCTTTTATTACTCAAGACTGTTGTCAAAATGTTCCTCAGCTGCAACAGTATTTTGTCACGACTTGTATACCAAACTAAATAGCAAGTCCAATTTTGTTTCCCATTCATGTCACAAACAATGTGGTTACAGCTGTACTAGGTAGTTTACATTATAAATGAAAACCCATCATTGTACATGTAGCTAAATATTGTGAATAAGGTTCATTAAGCACTCTTGGTACATGTATTTTTAATTTCAACTTCTTGTCACTACAGTTGAATCACGTTAATTTGAACTTGGTTATTTCAAATTCCTCGTTATTTGGAACTCAAAACTATTCCCCTTGGAATTACTTTTTATCAGTCATTTACTATCGGCCATTTCAAACTCTCGCTATTTTGAACTATATTTTTTCGTTTGGGCCCTGAAATGGCGGGGTTCAACGGTATAAATTATGTGTTTAAGTAATAGGCCATGAAAGTATGAAAATTCTAACAGGGCACTGCTGAAGCTTTGGGGACAAGAACAAGAGAAATTAATTTTAAATTCATCACTCTTGAAACCTCTTATTTCTAATTTGTTTTACTTTCCTAAGCCTCTGCGTCACATTGTAATTTTTAATTTATTTAGTATTTTCAAAATGGCTTGTGACAATTTGACAAACTTCCATTCAATATCTCTGTCACTACATTGTCATTACAACTTTGATAGTTAATAATAATGTGTTTCCCTTTGATGCCACATGTATTGTACTACTGGCTTTTGGAATTCTCACTGTCTTCAGTTATATTTTATTTTTACTTTGCTCATGCATGTATGCACTCTACAGGGTAAACTATAACCAACTGGTTAGCGTTCAGCCAGTTGAAGTTCCTAACTGTGGGTTTACCTGCATTACTTGCAAATAATTTTGGACGTTAAAATTTTGGATGTGTAAATTTGGACATTAAATCTTTGGACACTTTTTATTGCATTTCCAACAAATTTCAGACAAAAGTTTCCAACACTTTTTTTGTTCTGAAATTAAAATTCTTACCACTGTTCCCCCAGCCTGCGTAGCAGATGTTTACTTTTCTTTTCCAGGCAGAGAGAGTGAACAAGCAGGTGTGCAGGGGTGTGGAGAAAAGGAATTGCCTACCGTCAAACCCAAACATTTTACCAAACTCTGTTCGCCCACAAACAGGGAACAATAGTGCAATTTGATTGGTCAGTAGCCCATCAATCAAAAAGTGACATCAGAAATTTGACCGTTCATGCATAATCTGACATCTGGAACACAACAGTATCAAAATACAGTGGAACCCTGTTCATCCGGTCACCAACAGCCCAAAAGAATCTGGCTGATTAATGAGTGGCTTTATTAAAGGGGTCTTTAAATAAGAAAATGACTGACTGGGCTTTTGTTCAGGTGAGAATAAAGTGGCCATACATGTAATAACAAGGTGGCTGTATTAACTGGGTGGCCTTAAGGCGAGGTTCCACTGTATAGCTGAGTCTGAGGAAGCATTCAAAATTCTTCTGTTCAGGAAACGGTGAAAGATCTATAGCAAAATGGCAAACACATTGATCTAAAACTGGAGCAAGAAGATGCCATTAAGAGTTAAGTCTGTGGACAGGATGTCCTTGCAATCTTACCAACTGGTTTTTGTAAAAGTGCCATCTATCAAATACTCTAACTGGGTTAAACTGGACGGTGAACGCCTTGTCGATAAATCAGTAATGATGTATAAGATATGGTTCCAGACTATCTGAGTTCACACTGTGTCTTCCGTTCTGATACCTTATCCTAATTCAAGAGATAGTGACTGTTTGCTTGCCATTCCACAGCCCCACACTAATTATTGTAAAAGAAGTCTGTCCTACAGCAGAGCTGTACTGTGGAATAGTTTACCCTAACTTGGATATTCATCAGTCACCCTCTCTTGATGAATTTAAATCTAAGTTGAAGAATTATGATTTTGCTGGTAATCTTATGTAAGTTTTATAATTTTGCTTTTATACACGGCTTCCTTGTAAAGCAGGGTTTTTTTTTTTATCATTTCTCTTATTGCAGTACATGTGAGTGATTTATTAGTTACTACAGTATTGGTATTCTATTGTGCCGCCCGGCCACCAAGCGAAAATTGGGTAGCAAAATTGAACGTTAAAGATATATGGATTCCACTGTATTCGAAGTATTTTTGTTTACTTGTACATACAGTCTACATGCGCATACAGTTAACCCCACATCTATGTGTAGCTTTGAATACAAACCAAATGGGGTGAGCTGTACCATTTACAAGGCTCATGTTAACTGGCCAAATGAAGCAATAGATAATAAACACAAAGCCTTGAACCCTACGACCAAAAGAGATGCAGAAAAAATAGAGGTTTTAAAGTGATGTAGATCAAGTGAATCCAACTTTTAAAAGACTTTCATTGACTTAAATATTTTCAGTTTTTTTGTTTTTTTGTAAATTCGAGTATTGGTTTATAGTTTCCTTTAAAAATAATATTGTGGCTCCCAAAATCCCAGAGACTTTCCAGTGGGGTAGGTAGGGATCCACACTGTCAGTGACTACATGTACATGTAGATATGTTGGGCTAAATTATCTAGAACCAGGCCATGTTGTTTTTTCTGACCTACAATCAACATTATATTCAGAACCATTTCATTTCTACTGTTCATCACATATATAATTATTGTCCTTAGGGGAGCTTGTTTTAAATCAAGGTATTTTTTTCTTGGAACTTTGAGGTCCCTCATTCACAGGATTGAAAATGTGGCTGTTAAAATATTTGTACAATGTAAATATGCGACATTAAAATGGTCAATGCTAGAAACCCTGTAGTTTTTGCTTTACTGATGATTAGACCTGTCCTGCATTCCACTTCAGAACCTACAAATGATTATACGGTAGACATTTTCATACATATGCTGTGTTTTTGTCCACCTTTGTTGAAATGCGGGAAAGGTCTATGGGTTCTTTCTGAAACAACTACAACAGTTACTGTATTTTCTTTCGTCACAGAATTTCCTGAAAGAAATAGAAAATATGTTCTCTGTGTTTCTATTAAGCCACAGAATCACTTGTGAAAGTTTGGGAGAACTTGGAAAAGCTGTGGGAACACTTGCCTGCCGAATTGTGTTGCAACAGCATTTCTTGTTCTCCCAAACATTCTCTTGTGTTTCTATAGCTTTATAGAAACACAGTACATGTTAATTCTATTTCTTGAATGGCATCGTGTTGCGTGCACACAAAAAAATGTGATAATCAGTCTGCAAGTGCCAATACATGTATGTCATATTCAATGGCTACATGCACAACTGATATAGTATCTCACTAGTCACTGGTATTTTTTTTCTAAATGCTGCTTTTTTTCTCCTCCTTTTCTTCTGGCTTAAGACTAAAAACTGTTTTGAGATGCTTACTTTCATCGAACAATTCAGCTGTCTGGTGGCAGAATATTTTCTGCTGAAGATTTGATGTATCCGTCAAGTGGGAGAGGAAAATGACCAATTAATGTGAATGAGGGTTGACAAGAATTTTGTTTTTGCTCTTGTTTGAACATTAGCATTTTTGCCATCGTTGCCTCTAGAATTTAATCTGCTAACTCTTCCCACGAGTCTGAGTTTTTTAGCTCACTTGTGGGATATATAAGTTATGTCAACTCTCAGGTTCTCTTAGTTCAGTCGACGGATGGGGTACAGTTGACAAAAAATGAAGTTTGAATTTCTCATTTAGATCTTCAGCCACAAAAACACTCTCCTCAACTTGTGGTGTTATTTGCCGGGGCTCATATAGGTGTTGGAGAATCAAAATGTGTTTAAGTTGATTTCAAACTTTGTTGTACATCAGTCACTTACATAAGTAACAAGTCAGATTAGTTTTTAGAAAATAGACTGGATGTACGATATTTTTCAAAGGAAATTGGAGAGACTAAGTAGCAGGGAATGGGATGAGCGACATACGTAATTATATTGCGTTGTTTTGTGGTCATTATCAGCTGTTCATCAGCCGCACCCTATCCTTGAAACTATCAAAGCCTCTCCCAGCTTTTAAGACACTTGAGAATGTTAAGGGGTTGATTGAAATATTTATCATAGAAGAACAAGAAATAACTAAGCCATAGAAAAAATTAGTTTATTGCTTAAAACATTGGGAAGGTTCATCCAGTATAATTTTCTGAGTCGCGGCTTGCATGACAGAGAAATAAGCTTTCCAGCTTGAGCAATATAATTAAACATTTTTAACGTGACTAGATACTGACTAATGGCAGCTAAACGCTTAGGATATCAAGACTGATATGCGTGCATAGAAAGTCCGTGGCGCAATACCAATAAGCCTGGCAGCTTCGTGGTTTATATTTAATCTTAAGCACAGGCCTATCTATTTCCTCACCTTTGTCGTCTTCAACGTGATATTGGCCTTTTCAGGAAGCACTGTTAATTGATCTGCTTTTGATATAGAGGCTCTGCGCCACAGCTCTCAGTAAACCTTTTTGTAGGCTTCTAATAATATCTTGTTGAAGAACTCATGTATTATACTGCCAAGACTGCTACCTGTCTAGATAACTGTTTGTGTAAGAAGTTATAGGTTACAGAATAGTTGTTTTACTGGTCAAATTGAGAGTGATCCAGGTCCAGCTTGTTTGATCTTACATGCATGGTCAAGATGACAAAACTGGTGTGTACATTTTATGTATCCTATCTTGAGCTATGTAAAACTTTGCCTTGAATTTGACAAATCAATTTAGTTGAGCTTGCCTGAAAATTGGTTAAACATTTAATTTTGTCATCATGGATCTCTGAATTTTATTTTGTCCAAGAAAAAAGCAAAACATTCTGTTAGTGAGGTCCAAAAAATGTTTTAAAAGTTGTTGCATGGTTTGTGACAAGCCTCTGCTTTTGGTTACTACTGTTATATAAAATACTAAGAATTTTCTAGAGACTTGCCAAAATATACAACTACACATGGTCAAATCTACACGCAATATGTTATTTTGTGAACTACCTAGATTGCATGAATCCCTGTGTCTGTCTGGCCAATATATTAACTAATATTATTGACACCACTTGAGTCATGATATTGCATCCTGTCTCACTAATGGATTAACATTCAAATTACCTCATTCAAGACTTATCAACATCAAGCCAATCTGTTGTTTTGATCCTCTTTGGCAATGTGAGTTTTTCAAACTCAGATTTCTTGTGATAATGTTTAACATGTAGAATAACTGATCATGTTGATGTAAATTCATAGTTGAGGTATTTTATACATTTACTTACTTTGCCATGCAACTCTCGAAACTGTGACAAAATTAATTTAAAGCAGCCTGTCTTTGGTGAGTGATTAATTTTACACAAGATAGTTTTAATTTGAAGGTAGTTTTGTTATCATGTACATGTACCTGGGGGTACAAAACTATATGTAGGTGGGTGGCATGTGTGTTACCCCACGGGTATGTTTGTTTGGGGGAGGTAGAGGGGTTCTGAAATATATTGCTCAATAACAAATTGTTGTGGGGGATTTGACTGTTTCGTAGGAACTTTTTGATAATCTGCAAACCCTCACAATAAGTGCGTATGCATGAGTACATCTGCTTTATTTATATTATTATTTTTTGCTGTAGAAACAGACAACAAGAGAATAATTTAAGTCATAAGTCAGAGTGATCATTTTGTAATAACTCCTTATGATATCAATTTATTCTCAAGTGGAGGGGTGTTGAGAATAAGGAAAATCATCAACATGGGCTGGTAATTTCTCAGTTAATGCAAGGGGATTCTAATTCCAAACTTTTTATTTAAAATTTTGTAATTATAGTAACAATGTTTTAGGGCTTGTCAACAACCATTTGAATGCATCTAGTAATTAATCTAGCAATCTATATGCAAAAAAAATCACTGTAAGTTATATTTATGTGTATTTTATTTGGGGCTAATTGGAAAAAAAACTTAACATACATGTAACTTGCTATCACCTAACCCTAAAAGCTTGGAATTCAGAATTTTAACAGTGCTAACAATGGTTGTTCTGCTTAACAGATTCCCCCAGGCTTATGCAGCTACTACAATCCCACACCCCTCCCATGCCCATAAGTCAAACTACCCGGGGAGACATGCCAAGTGATGCAAGACGTGCCAGTGATGATGAAGAGTCTCACAACGGAACAAGAAGTTCTGCTTTTGTTGTCCACCCAGCTGAGGTGCATCCTAGCATGAGTGAACCAGCCACAAGGTCAACAGGCATGCATAGCAGGCCTGTGCAGACAGGACCAGTTTGTACAACCCCAGGTGCTTGCAGATGTAACATACTAACAATGTAGCCTAACACGTAGGGCTTTCATTAAGGGCCAGGCACCTTGCAAATTGACTGACTCCACTGTGAGGACAATTTTGGCCACCTGGTTTGACCATGCGAGGAAAGTTTTTCATATAAATAAGTTCAGTTCAAAGCGTTTTGTCCCACTATGAGAACCAGTTGTCCTCCTGCTAAAACCGTTAATGAAAGCCCTGGATACGCTATGAAGTTTTCAAAGCAGCCAGAGTTGATATTTTCAGTCTTAACAGCCTTTGGGGTCAACTTTATTGGTGAGACTATTTTGGAGCTGCGTTCCATTTTATTAGGCTCAGTTGACAAATACTCAATTGATTCCAATACACTCCTGAGCAAGCTTTCCCAGGGTGCATTCCTTTGGGGTAATCTGGATCAGGACCAGTGATCCAGGATCACTCGCATCATAGTTCATCAAAGGAACCACTGAATCAGTGACCAGAGTGGATTCATCGGTTCCTATGATGTACCATGATCCAAGTGAACTTGGATCACTGATCCTGATCCAGATCACCCCAAAGGAATGCACCCTTTATTAGGGATTTACTTCGTGATGTTATGATTGAAAAAGGGCGGTCAAAACTCTACTCTATCCAATATTTAGAAACTACTGGAATGGCAATAATTAAGCAGTTTGATTGGTGGAATCTAGTCATGGTCCCTCTTAGCTGTCCTTAAGTCTTGGACAAATAACCATAAATTAATGGCAGGAGAGTTAAGAAAATGATCACCAAATGTAATTCTCCTGATGGCAATGCCATGAGAAATAAGAGGGCCGTGTGGAGACTTACATGTAGTATGTCACCTTGGATGAAAGCAGTGCCGATATTGTGACTTAGTACCTGTGCTAGTGTGCAAAATTTTCTTATTGTTGAATTGTTGAAGGGAGCACAATTATGTTTAGCTTTTAGCACTTTTTACAAGACGCTACAACAGAATTTGAAAAAGTCTGGCAGACTTTTTCAATTTTATAGCTTCAGTGCACATGTATAACAATTTCTAACAAAACTAGGCCATTATTTGAAGATTTCCATCAATGAAAATATGTCTTTTTAGTAAGGCCTGTAATAGTACCCCTTTAAACCCAGTATAAATGTTTCAGGTTTGTGTCAGGCTGGAGGAGAGTTAAGGCTGGCTCACCTCAATGGGAAGTCTGTGAAAGTCTCTGAAGGGTTTGTGCTTGTTGGAGCTAAATCTCCCATGCTGCCAGGAATGATGCTGGTGGCAGAAGTGGACAGACGATTCCTGCCAGATGAGAAGAACAATGCCACAATGCTTGGATTCAGTGGAAACTGCATTGGCTGTGGGGCCAAGGGATTCAGATACTTCACAGAGTTTTCAAGTCATATTAATCTGAAGCTTGCCACGCAGCCCAAGAAACAGAAGCATTTGAAGTACTACATCATCATTGAGCCCAGTGGTAGACTACACAAAGGACCAGCTATCCCGTGGAAAGGTAAGTTAAGTCAGAGATTGCATACTTTGGGGGTACAGTGGAACCCCACCTTATGGCCACCCCATTAATACAGCCACCTTGTTATTTTCGCCACTTTATTCTGGCCTGAACAAAACCTCAGTCAGTCATTTTCTTATTTAAAGAACCCCTTTAATGCCGTCTCCTGTGGCTTGTTGGTGACCCAGATTAAGGTGGTTCCACTGTGTTGGCTTATCAGACCAGTGCTTACCTGTACTTTCCATAGTATGAAGGGACCAGGAGTATTTCTGTGTATTTCTGTGTTCTGCCTACATAGGATGTTAGTCTATTGCAGTGCTACCTCCTACGTTAACTTCCCTAGTACCCATTTATGTGCCTGGGTGGGGAAACTCAGAGAGGCATTGTTGGTAAGGTGAAGTCTGCGTCGGGCAAGTGACCAGTCCATGCCGACAGAGCTTATACCACGGTTACTGTGACACAAAGTGGCTAGGAGTATTTCTACTCCCCCTGGATGGGATGCTAGTCCATCACAGGGTTACCTCCAGCATTAATTTCACCGGTACCCATTTATACACCTGGGTGGGGAGAGGCACTGTGAGAGTTAATTGTAACTTGAAGAGAGTGTGNGGTAGGGATCCACACTGTCAGTGACTACATGTACATGTAGATATGTTGGGCTAAATTATCTAGAACCAGGCCATGTTGTTTTTTCTGACCTACAATCAACATTATATTCAGAACCATTTCATTTCTACTGTTCATCACATATATAATTATTGTCCTTAGGGGAGCTTGTTTTAAATCAAGGTATTTTTTTCTTGGAACTTTGAGGTCCCTCATTCACAGGATTGAAAATGTGGCTGTTAAAATATTTGTACAATGTAAATATGCGACATTAAAATGGTCAATGCTAGAAACCCTGTAGTTTTTGCTTTACTGATGATTAGACCTGTCCTGCATTCCACTTCAGAACCTACAAATGATTATACGGTAGACATTTTCATACATATGCTGTGTTTTTGTCCACCTTTGTTGAAATGCGGGAAAGGTCTATGGGTTCTTTCTGAAACAACTACAACAGTTACTGTATTTTCTTTCGTCACAGAATTTCCTGAAAGAAATAGAAAATATGTTCTCTGTGTTTCTATTAAGCCACAGAATCACTTGTGAAAGTTTGGGAGAACTTGGAAAAGCTGTGGGAACACTTGCCTGCCGAATTGTGTTGCAACAGCATTTCTTGTTCTCCCAAACATTCTCTTGTGTTTCTATAGCTTTATAGAAACACAGTACATGTTAATTCTATTTCTTGAATGGCATCGTGTTGCGTGCACACAAAAAAATGTGATAATCAGTCTGCAAGTGCCAATACATGTATGTCATATTCAATGGCTACATGCACAACTGATATAGTATCTCACTAGTCACTGGTATTTTTTTTCTAAATGCTGCTTTTTTTCTCCTCCTTTTCTTCTGGCTTAAGACTAAAAACTGTTTTGAGATGCTTACTTTCATCGAACAATTCAGCTGTCTGGTGGCAGAATATTTTCTGCTGAAGATTTGATGTATCCGTCAAGTGGGAGAGGAAAATGACCAATTAATGTGAATGAGGGTTGACAAGAATTTTGTTTTTGCTCTTGTTTGAACATTAGCATTTTTGCCATCGTTGCCTCTAGAATTTAATCTGCTAACTCTTCCCACGAGTCTGAGTTTTTTAGCTCACTTGTGGGATATATAAGTTATGTCAACTCTCAGGTTCTCTTAGTTCAGTCGACGGATGGGGTACAGTTGACAAAAAATGAAGTTTGAATTTCTCATTTAGATCTTCAGCCACAAAAACACTCTCCTCAACTTGTGGTGTTATTTGCCGGGGCTCATATAGGTGTTGGAGAATCAAAATGTGTTTAAGTTGATTTCAAACTTTGTTGTACATCAGTCACTTACATAAGTAACAAGTCAGATTAGTTTTTAGAAAATAGACTGGATGTACGATATTTTTCAAAGGAAATTGGAGAGACTAAGTAGCAGGGAATGGGATGAGCGACATACGTAATTATATTGCGTTGTTTTGTGGTCATTATCAGCTGTTCATCAGCCGCACCCTATCCTTGAAACTATCAAAGCCTCTCCCAGCTTTTAAGACACTTGAGAATGTTAAGGGGTTGATTGAAATATTTATCATAGAAGAACAAGAAATAACTAAGCCATAGAAAAAATTAGTTTATTGCTTAAAACATTGGGAAGGTTCATCCAGTATAATTTTCTGAGTCGCGGCTTGCATGACAGAGAAATAAGCTTTCCAGCTTGAGCAATATAATTAAACATTTTTAACGTGACTAGATACTGACTAATGGCAGCTAAACGCTTAGGATATCAAGACTGATATGCGTGCATAGAAAGTCCGTGGCGCAATACCAATAAGCCTGGCAGCTTCGTGGTTTATATTTAATCTTAAGCACAGGCCTATCTATTTCCTCACCTTTGTCGTCTTCAACGTGATATTGGCCTTTTCAGGAAGCACTGTTAATTGATCTGCTTTTGATATAGAGGCTCTGCGCCACAGCTCTCAGTAAACCTTTTTGTAGGCTTCTAATAATATCTTGTTGAAGAACTCATGTATTATACTGCCAAGACTGCTACCTGTCTAGATAACTGTTTGTGTAAGAAGTTATAGGTTACAGAATAGTTGTTTTACTGGTCAAATTGAGAGTGATCCAGGTCCAGCTTGTTTGATCTTACATGCATGGTCAAGATGACAAAACTGGTGTGTACATTTTATGTATCCTATCTTGAGCTATGTAAAACTTTGCCTTGAATTTGACAAATCAATTTAGTTGAGCTTGCCTGAAAATTGGTTAAACATTTAATTTTGTCATCATGGATCTCTGAATTTTATTTTGTCCAAGAAAAAAGCAAAACATTCTGTTAGTGAGGTCCAAAAAATGTTTTAAAAGTTGTTGCATGGTTTGTGACAAGCCTCTGCTTTTGGTTACTACTGTTATATAAAATACTAAGAATTTTCTAGAGACTTGCCAAAATATACAACTACACATGGTCAAATCTACACGCAATATGTTATTTTGTGAACTACCTAGATTGCATGAATCCCTGTGTCTGTCTGGCCAATATATTAACTAATATTATTGACACCACTTGAGTCATGATATTGCATCCTGTCTCACTAATGGATTAACATTCAAATTACCTCATTCAAGACTTATCAACATCAAGCCAATCTGTTGTTTTGATCCTCTTTGGCAATGTGAGTTTTTCAAACTCAGATTTCTTGTGATAATGTTTAACATGTAGAATAACTGATCATGTTGATGTAAATTCATAGTTGAGGTATTTTATACATTTACTTACTTTGCCATGCAACTCTCGAAACTGTGACAAAATTAATTTAAAGCAGCCTGTCTTTGGTGAGTGATTAATTTTACACAAGATAGTTTTAATTTGAAGGTAGTTTTGTTATCATGTACATGTACCTGGGGGTACAAAACTATATGTAGGTGGGTGGCATGTGTGTTACCCCACGGGTATGTTTGTTTGGGGGAGGTAGAGGGGTTCTGAAATATATTGCTCAATAACAAATTGTTGTGGGGGATTTGACTGTTTCGTAGGAACTTTTTGATAATCTGCAAACCCTCACAATAAGTGCGTATGCATGAGTACATCTGCTTTATTTATATTATTATTTTTTGCTGTAGAAACAGACAACAAGAGAATAATTTAAGTCATAAGTCAGAGTGATCATTTTGTAATAACTCCTTATGATATCAATTTATTCTCAAGTGGAGGGGTGTTGAGAATAAGGAAAATCATCAACATGGGCTGGTAATTTCTCAGTTAATGCAAGGGGATTCTAATTCCAAACTTTTTATTTAAAATTTTGTAATTATAGTAACAATGTTTTAGGGCTTGTCAACAACCATTTGAATGCATCTAGTAATTAATCTAGCAATCTATATGCAAAAAAAATCACTGTAAGTTATATTTATGTGTATTTTATTTGGGGCTAATTGGAAAAAAAACTTAACATACATGTAACTTGCTATCACCTAACCCTAAAAGCTTGGAATTCAGAATTTTAACAGTGCTAACAATGGTTGTTCTGCTTAACAGATTCCCCCAGGCTTATGCAGCTACTACAATCCCACACCCCTCCCATGCCCATAAGTCAAACTACCCGGGGAGACATGCCAAGTGATGCAAGACGTGCCAGTGATGATGAAGAGTCTCACAACGGAACAAGAAGTTCTGCTTTTGTTGTCCACCCAGCTGAGGTGCATCCTAGCATGAGTGAACCAGCCACAAGGTCAACAGGCATGCATAGCAGGCCTGTGCAGACAGGACCAGTTTGTACAACCCCAGGTGCTTGCAGATGTAACATACTAACAATGTAGCCTAACACGTAGGGCTTTCATTAAGGGCCAGGCACCTTGCAAATTGACTGACTCCACTGTGAGGACAATTTTGGCCACCTGGTTTGACCATGCGAGGAAAGTTTTTCATATAAATAAGTTCAGTTCAAAGCGTTTTGTCCCACTATGAGAACCAGTTGTCCTCCTGCTAAAACCGTTAATGAAAGCCCTGGATACGCTATGAAGTTTTCAAAGCAGCCAGAGTTGATATTTTCAGTCTTAACAGCCTTTGGGGTCAACTTTATTGGTGAGACTATTTTGGAGCTGCGTTCCATTTTATTAGGCTCAGTTGACAAATACTCAATTGATTCCAATACACTCCTGAGCAAGCTTTCCCAGGGTGCATTCCTTTGGGGTAATCTGGATCAGGACCAGTGATCCAGGATCACTCGCATCATAGTTCATCAAAGGAACCACTGAATCAGTGACCAGAGTGGATTCATCGGTTCCTATGATGTACCATGATCCAAGTGAACTTGGATCACTGATCCTGATCCAGATCACCCCAAAGGAATGCACCCTTTATTAGGGATTTACTTCGTGATGTTATGATTGAAAAAGGGCGGTCAAAACTCTACTCTATCCAATATTTAGAAACTACTGGAATGGCAATAATTAAGCAGTTTGATTGGTGGAATCTAGTCATGGTCCCTCTTAGCTGTCCTTAAGTCTTGGACAAATAACCATAAATTAATGGCAGGAGAGTTAAGAAAATGATCACCAAATGTAATTCTCCTGATGGCAATGCCATGAGAAATAAGAGGGCCGTGTGGAGACTTACATGTAGTATGTCACCTTGGATGAAAGCAGTGCCGATATTGTGACTTAGTACCTGTGCTAGTGTGCAAAATTTTCTTATTGTTGAATTGTTGAAGGGAGCACAATTATGTTTAGCTTTTAGCACTTTTTACAAGACGCTACAACAGAATTTGAAAAAGTCTGGCAGACTTTTTCAATTTTATAGCTTCAGTGCACATGTATAACAATTTCTAACAAAACTAGGCCATTATTTGAAGATTTCCATCAATGAAAATATGTCTTTTTAGTAAGGCCTGTAATAGTACCCCTTTAAACCCAGTATAAATGTTTCAGGTTTGTGTCAGGCTGGAGGAGAGTTAAGGCTGGCTCACCTCAATGGGAAGTCTGTGAAAGTCTCTGAAGGGTTTGTGCTTGTTGGAGCTAAATCTCCCATGCTGCCAGGAATGATGCTGGTGGCAGAAGTGGACAGACGATTCCTGCCAGATGAGAAGAACAATGCCACAATGCTTGGATTCAGTGGAAACTGCATTGGCTGTGGGGCCAAGGGATTCAGATACTTCACAGAGTTTTCAAGTCATATTAATCTGAAGCTTGCCACGCAGCCCAAGAAACAGAAGCATTTGAAGTACTACATCATCATTGAGCCCAGTGGTAGACTACACAAAGGACCAGCTATCCCGTGGAAAGGTAAGTTAAGTCAGAGATTGCATACTTTGGGGGTACAGTGGAACCCCACCTTATGGCCACCCCATTAATACAGCCACCTTGTTATTTTCGCCACTTTATTCTGGCCTGAACAAAACCTCAGTCAGTCATTTTCTTATTTAAAGAACCCCTTTAATGCCGTCTCCTGTGGCTTGTTGGTGACCCAGATTAAGGTGGTTCCACTGTGTTGGCTTATCAGACCAGTGCTTACCTGTACTTTCCATAGTATGAAGGGACCAGGAGTATTTCTGTGTATTTCTGTGTTCTGCCTACATAGGATGTTAGTCTATTGCAGTGCTACCTCCTACGTTAACTTCCCTAGTACCCATTTATGTGCCTGGGTGGGGAAACTCAGAGAGGCATTGTTGGTAAGGTGAAGTCTGCGTCGGGCAAGTGACCAGTCCATGCCGACAGAGCTTATACCACGGTTACTGTGACACAAAGTGGCTAGGAGTATTTCTACTCCCCCTGGATGGGATGCTAGTCCATCACAGGGTTACCTCCAGCATTAATTTCACCGGTACCCATTTATACACCTGGGTGGGGAGAGGCACTGTGAGAGTTAATTGTAACTTGAAGAGAGTGTGTCTTGTCCAAATCTTGTCCAGAGTCAGGCACACTAATCATGAGACCACAATCACAAGTTGCAATGACATGTAATTGATATGCTCATTAAAAGGGGCTAGAGTGTAGTCCTCAATTCAGTCACGGTATTTTCAGTTATTTTGACCACGTTCAAAATCTCCTTTAAATTGAAGAAAACCTGAAAATAGTTGTTTACTAAGATAGAAAAACACCAAAGAGATACTAATAAACCATAGAGGAACAAGGATGATTACGAATGGAGAAGATTAACACGGATTACAAACGACGAACTTGAAACATTTAGGCTATACTTTTCAAGATGCGCAAACCGTTAAGTAGCTCCTCTAAGATACGTTAATCACAGAAAAACCCAAAGACGTTAAACACATTGTCCATAAGCTTGAGGGCAGCGTCAAATTGCCCGTTCATTTAGTATTTATTCAAAATGTTATTTTGTTTTTACTTGTGATGGCAGTTGAAGGAAGAAAAAGAACTTTTCCACTTACTGGACCATACATTCCTGCACCGTATACATCTTCCGACTCTGAGAAGTCCAATGAGATGCCTAGGAACAGTGCAACATCAGGTACTGTACTAAAACAACACAGACATCTTAGCTCTTTTTTTTGTAGATTACAGAGCTTGAGTGGCAGCATAAGTTACTAAAACAAGACAGATATCTAAGTTCTGTTTTTTTACAATACTGAATGTGAGCTTGAGTGGTAGGTCGACAAAACGCAAAACTTTGAGGCAACTATAAACGCCATTAGAAATAAAGGGCGATTTCTCTTATTGTCTTCACATACAGGTAATCATGTGGCCACCAACACGTCTGTTGTATAGGGGGAATCCTTGTTTACAATATTTGCCTCATTAACATAAGCAATTCAGTTTCTGATGGAACTTCAAATAAATCAGTTCTGAATATTGAAAGGTCATAGTACGATTATGTCTACCAATGAATAGATCCTTTGCATAAATGGCGCCTAAATTTGAATGACAATAGTTTATACATCCTTAGTCTCGTACTCCTGTTTCAAGAGAAAGGATTTTTTCACACGAATATGAGGCTAAGGATGTATAAGTATTGTTATTTAAATGTAGGCGCCATTTATGCAAAGGGTCTATATGAGCCCGATTTATTGAATACTCTTTGTGCAACACGGGTTTAAAAACTCAAAATTATACAAAGAATGTATGAGCTCATTAGCGCTTTTGCTACCCAGAAATTTTGCAGTTTTTGAAAGACAATTTCTCCTTGAATATCACACCCAAAGAGCTAAAACTTTCACCATGTATTACGTTTCACCAGCTCTTAAGCTGCCTGGAGTCAATTCATATCTAACTTGTTTTCTTCTGTACGCAAAGCCGTATGCAAATGAGCAAAAATGCAAACAGTAACGTCAGCATGAATCCTTATATATCCAATCAGATTGCGAGTTTGTTAATATCCAGTCACTAGGTAAAAGGTAAAAAAGGTGTCAGTTGCGCCCATGGCATGTTAAATCTTTTTAAACTCTCAAGTTCACGATGTTTACTTGCTATTTACAGTATGTTACTAAATACATTTTACTTATAACTTTGCTTTTGATCTATGTCTTTCCTGCATGTACAGTCGAACCCCCACAGCCAGGATTGTTTTCCCCGACCATCGGCTGATTAATACATTGGACTCTTATTGAAACAGCCATTTAATTCTGCCTCAGGGGGCCCTTTGTAGGGAGATTGAAGGGTATTTTATTTTTATTAGTCGGTCTTCGTAAAGGGACTCAGTCACGGTATTTTGAGTTATTGTGGCCACCTATAAGTATTAAGTTACCTTTGAATTGAAGGAAACCTGAAAATAATAGTTTGCTAAGGTAGAAAAACACCAAAGAGATAATACTAAACCATAAGGAAACAAGGATGGCTAAGGAAGGAGAAGATTAACACGGATTACAAACGACGAACTTGAAAAATTTAAGCCACACTTTTCAAGATGCGCAATTCGTGACGTAGCTCCTTACATTTTTACTGTTTATTCTTCTCTAGCTCCACATCACCTGCTGTCTCTACAGTCTCATTCAACCTCCATTCAAGGGCAGAGTATGACATCACCAAGAGATGAGGGCCTGCTGTTAATGCAATCAACCAATCAGAACGCTTCTGAGCAAGCCTATCATCCGGGACTGAAGAGAGCGCGCTGGGAGTCTGGAGGCAGTGAGTCGCCAATAGAAAGTGGTAAGGACAGATGCTGTGCGCATACATGTAGTTCCATTACGTCAGAGCTCCTTTCTGAGGAATACTGATAACCGAACCAACCTATAATCGCAACATAAACTAAAAAAAATTGTTTGGACTTTCAAATTTTGGTCAGAACTGAATTTCGGAACAAATGATTCATCTGAGAATTAAAAATGCCGGATTTTTCTCCACAGATAACTTTGCGATGAGAGTTTTCTAACATAGTTGAAAGTATTAAGTACTATATAGCCATATCTTCAACACTATCATATCTGTTAGTCATCTGAAGGAACTAGTCGTGAATGATCAAGACTACAGTGAAATCCTGATTTTTCAAACCTCCCGATAATTCGAAACAATTTTTTGCTCTTTCGGTGAAAGAGTCAGAAGAAATTTACCTTTAGCCTTTTTAAAAGGCTTAAGAATGCTTCGGTCTGTTACACAAACTCTACTGCAATTTACACGGCAATTCATTTTGTAGTTTTAGTATATTATAATGTTGAGTGGCGTAAAACCAAAACCAAACCAATTACTGACCTATTAGACTACTCAGCCAATCTCAAACGGCAGTAAAACCAAAACCAAAACCAAAGTAACTGTCTGATTACTTCCGACACTCAATTGAAAACCGAAAATCCCATCCAAGGGAGAGTAGAAATATTATTCCTAGTCGCTCCGTGCTACAGGAATTTGAGATAAGCGCCGGCCTGATGGGCCACTTGGCTCGTATGCAGAACTTACATTTACCTTACCTTTCAGTGATAAGGTTTAAAATGCCCGTTAAGTCCGGAATGGATCTTAATTACAGTCTGTCTAAACTGCTTTTCAGATGATCAATCCAGTGACACTGCAAGATCTGCGTCAGGATCTGATGTAGGAGAGCTGCCGTCCGAACCCTGGCTTACCACGGCATGCGGTGTTCGTCCTGTACTCCTGTTATGCCAGCATTCCATACCCAAGATGTCCTGCACTGTGGAGGACATTATCATCAGTGACCTTCTCGTGGGGTGCTTTGACCCTCCTCTCGTCTCAGACCGTAACCAGTTTGGCAACATTTCTGGTGTATACAGCACTGCCCCGACTTCTTTATCAGAGAGGCCATTTTACGGTAGCGTACCGTGTCTTACTACACAGATGGCAGTGCTTCTCATGGTGCAGTATCTGTCGCAGTTCGTGGACGACGATCGCATCAGTCGGGAAGACGTGGAATCTTTACTACAAGATGCCAGGCTGGAGCTGACGGCGTCCGTCCAACAACAGTCTCATCTACTCGCTCAGAGCAATGCAGTGACACACGTTCAGCTTCCAGTGCTTGCAAGTCTCACTGCGGCCAACTCGAAAGGACGAGTCAAAATAGTGTCTTCACCCGTGTCGCTTGATAACGCCATTTTTAGAGCTTTGAAGTTCGTCTTGGAAATTCACAGACACAATCAATCCAAATTTCCCAAAGTACCCGTTCCTGACTTTATCTTTGTCTTAGCCACTTCGCAAAAGAAGTCGCCCGAGTTTTGCTTGCTAGTCACGAGCGTCCTTCAGGCGAAGTATCTCTCAGAGGCCATGATTGGTCATCCAGTTGGAGCGCGGATTGCGGACAATCTTGGCAGACTTGAGCAGCTTTTTAAATTGTCCAGTGACGCTCTAGAACAGATGATCAGTAACTTTGAGGAAGCAATGGGTCAAGGGCAATTTGTTTTTGTTCCATTCAATGGTTTTGCGAGGACAAAGGTGATGGCAGACGAGGCTGCGAGATTGGAGCCTCGGGCTCCAGCGTCCATCTACCCGCACCAAAAACAAACCTTGTTCGCCAGTCAACATCTGATTGCTAAGCAACTTCTTGCTCAAGTGTGTTCCATTGGAGAGAACATTAATTCTCTGGACCTGAACGGTTTCACGAGTGTGTCAGCGGCAATCATTGTACCGCCTTTGACAGCACTTTTCAACCAAACTGCTCAAAGACTTTGCAAGGCAGGACTCCTGGCTGAGCTTGATTTAGAAACTGCCGACAAAGCAGCATCGTTCAATACGGCTGCAAAGTACGTAATCAAACACAGTGGGATGGACGAAACCCAAGAGGAGTTGTTAAAGCTTCTTGAGCTTGTACAAGGTCAGCCCAGGGTGCTGTTTGTGGTGGTGTTTGATCAGGCGCAGTTCTACGCCAGTCCTCATGGAGTTCTCGATCTTCCGTACTACAAAGAGTTTTTAGAGGCTCGTAATGTGATTACTCTTTTTGTGACTGCAACGCCTTACCTCTTTCAGACCAATTGCTCCTTCATTGATCCAAGTAATGAAGTGTATTGGTCTGATATTCGAACCGAGTCAGGTCAGTATTCAGTTGATTTCCTTATTGCTTCCAACAGTTTTAAGTTCAAAAGTGAAATTTGTCTCTGAATATACATGAATGTTTTGAGCGGATTCAATTGAGTGTCTTGTTCGCATTTGTTTTGGTTTTGCGCCACCTCGCTAAGCGATTGGCTTAAAAAGCTCGCGCCACTAAATCATCTAATCATGGCAAATCGTGACTCGCGCGTACACGTTTTCCTGCGCTTTATACCAGCTACATGTATTTGGTTCGAGTTTTGATTGGTTCACTGGATTGTCTTTGTCCTTTGTGATTGGCCAGAGTGATAACCCTGGTTTTGGTTTTACCACACTCTATTGAAAACCACGTTGTGTTTGCTGATTTCATTACCATTTTTAATGTGTCCTTAGAAGAAGGAAAGAAAGAACGCGATAGTTTCAATCTTGCTTCGTTTTCATTCCTAAATGTTTTCAATTTGCCCCGAAGATTTATTCTATGTTGCGTTAACGATTTGCAACATTGAAGAAAACCTTTTGTTGTGACGGTAAACCCCACTGAGAATTTTGCATTTCTCTCAAGTTAGTCTCAAGTAATTTGAAGGCATTAACAAGATTAACATGATTAAAATCCTTTTACCTGTACACAGGTTGAAAGATCAACAATTTATCGTTGTGCATATATTAAGTAAATGAATTAAGTAAACCGTCATTCCTTTAAGTGGCCTATCGTCTGTCACCTCTATGTGGTATTAATTCGCTTGTACCTGCTTCAAATAGTAAGCTAGAAAATACAATAATTTTACTATAAATATCCCTAACATGTTCAATTATTTCTCCCTGAAACCAGATGGAGTTTCTGTCAGTGTAGTGGAGAATATTCAGAACTTAGAGACCAACGAAGGCACATATTTTGGAATGAAGGAATATTGTGAGTCAATTAAATGGACGCACCAGTTTCCACTTGTAAGACAAGATGACGCGTTTGAAAAGATGGCCTTGAGGACAAGCAGGTAATCACGATCACTTGTGTGCTATCTTGTGCACAGGGGCTCAGTATCCCTGCATTTTAGCCGGGCTCCGTCCACATTACGCCGGAGAAACGCATCAAATATTTTCCGTCCGTACTACGCAGCAGAAATCTGAAAACGCAACAATCACCGGTCATTTTGGATTTGTGTTTGAGGATAACTCGGTCAGGGAAATCACTTTATTATCTTGATGTCATCGATTTCCAAAAGCTCCGTTTTATAAATGTTTTCCGTCCACACTAAAACGCAAAGACGGCTTTTTTGAATTTCCTCCGGTTTGAAGAGCGTTTTCGAAAAGCTCCATTTTCGTGACGGATTCGTGTGGACGGTAGGCCTAGCCGTAGGAATAAAGCTGCGTTTTCAGATTTCTATTCGGTGTATTGTGGACGGGCGTTAAATGAATGTGATTGTGGCAACCATGTATCTGCAAGGCATTCTGCGAAGTTCAATAACGGCAGGTTATTTTATATCGTGATCCCGAAAATCCCTCTTCATAAGTTATCCACTATACAACAGTTATCCATAGTATGAGGTAGCGTCCATCACGTGTCTGTATTTTCGTTTGCGTATAGAACAACAGATGACGTCAATTTGAGTGTGCTAAGGTGCTATCTGCTTATTCGACATTACTGTGCTGCCATCATGTGGTCAGCGGGCATCAAACCCGCCGAACCTCACTGCACGCTGAAGACAATTCAAATCATGAGGGAGATCATTGAGTCGCCTGTCCATAACGCGGATGGCAGTGGTGCTATGCTAGTTATCCGTATTCCATCTGTGGAACTTGCTAATCTGGCTTTTGAGAGTCTGAGAAACACCCGCGACAGGTTAGTAAGTGTAATCAAACCTTAGCCATCCAGATCTGCGAGGGTGGAATCTGATAACTGAGCAATGAGCCTGCGGTCTGCTCGAGCTGTGCGTGCTTTGCGGTGCATGCGCAAAGGTGCCAGATTGAACTGCACGAGACAAAAACCGCCATGTTGGAACTCTTATCTTTACTTCTTTTCGAACTCGTTACTTCGTAATTTTGATCGTTAGTTTCTTTGATTAGCTTATTAATTCAGTCTTGTGATTTCCTATACATAAAAGCGATTTCATAGCGAATTCTACATTTTGTTTAACATTGAATACTTGGGATCATGTCCCGGAACATTGCAAGTGGTGAAAAGTGCTTTGGAACCGTTTAGGCAATAAAGCGTCTTTGGATGAGGGACTTCATAATTCGATCAATATCATTTGCATTGTAAAGCAAAGTAACATTAAACAATACATTGAGTGTTCCCTTTTTTTTTTTTTTTGGTTGACCAAGTTTCGTTTTTTTCATCGATATTCATGTCTTATTGTTTTCCATGCTTTGATTTTAGTGTAGTTCGATCTTTTAATCTCTTTTCTTCAATTTCAAAAACCGTTACTGAGTTAGAATAGTAATTGATTTACTAACAGTTACATAGATTACAGTAGATGTATTTTATGCGACGTGTTCATTGCAGGCTTGGATTTCAGTTCAGATTTTCTATCATCCATGACAATGGACACAGTGAGCTGGAAATTGAGGATTATTTCTTGAAGCGGTTGAGAGTTTGGAGGGAACAAAAAGGTTAGGGCGTAACTGAATTCTTCTTCCGGCATCTGGTAAGAAACGTGCTTATTAAGTCTGATGAAGAGATTTTTATGTTGTTCTTTTACACGTACATTACTGTACCATTTCAGTTCCTACAAAAACCAAGAGCAAGTCAGTTGAAAGATGGAGCCCCAAGTGTTTTGAAGATCTTCACGATCTTCCTTGCATTATCATCATTAGCGGTAGAGAGAGGCCTGGGGACACTTTCCCGAGGTAAGAGGAAGCACATGGTTGAGACATTTGTGTCAATCTGTTTATCACTAATTTGAACATAGAAAGTATTTGGAGACCAGACTCTCCCCCCTCCCCACCCGCCTCCCCCTGCCCTTTGTCAATTTCGTCTTACCCTACGAAAAACCTCTACGATTTAGCAACCTTGACAACTTACAAGGAGAGAGAAAAAAGGAAAAATTCATGTTTTTTTACCTCTTATTTGGTGGGAGTTTTTTTAAGTGTGAATTGTCTTAAGTAATTCTGTCCAACGATGTACCGTAATCAAAATGAGCATACTTGGAAAGATAGACTAGAATTTTCCAAAGGGACTTAAAAAATGTGGTCAGAGGCATTTTTAAAAATGTATTATAGTATGCTTGATTTTTTTGTCTTCATGTACAGTAAGTTTACTACAGTAACTTTGTTATTGTCTTTCATTAGGTCCTTGAAGTACATTGACTTGAGACTGATAGACAGAGGTTTCGTGTACCGCTCATCGCTAGAGCTGGAATTCAGCGCTATAGCTTGTTACATTGGCTCAGGCAGTGGCTCACGGGGTGTGGAGGGCAACGAGTCTAACGGACAGGCTGGTGGAGAAGCCAAAGAGGATTCTAACACGAGCAGTGGAACAATCTGCAGAACAAGCCACTACTCTTCTAACTACCCGCTGCCTGTGATTCTGGTGTCGCGCTCTGTCTTCAAGGCATTTCAATCAGATTTTTACGGTTATCCTAAGCATCTGCTACTACCTACAAGTCCCCAGACTCGGTGGGTGGGGCTAGGACGCCCGCCGGTGGTGACGTCGAATCCACGTCACCAGTCGTTGTACTACAGAGAGTGGACGGAGCCTAAGCCCAAGCAAGTCCCAGGTCCCCAACAGAACGCGGCCAATCGACAACCCGTCATAACTCTGCGCAGCGCAAGTGGTGTTGTGATAAGCCCGGATATCGCTGGTAAGTTTCATTGGTTTTTCAGTCTCTGAGGCCACCCTTTGTTTTCAGAATACTTGGCGTTAGTTTGTTGTTTGCAATGAGCCAAAATAAAATAATAAAAGGAGAAGTCTGTAATTGGGTAAAGATACATGTAAAGTTTGAGTAGGGCCAAGCGGTCCATACCGTAGGACCTTATTCCAGTTTCTGTAGCGTGAAGCGACTAGGAGTATTTCTACTCCCCCCATGGATGGGATGCTAGTCAATCGCAGTGTTACCCCCAGCATTAAATAGTGTACCCTCTCTCTATATAACACGATTACTTGAAATTTTCATTATTCTTTGCAGATGTTGTGGACGAAGATGGCATGTCTGCTGTGGAATCCTTTGCCGAAAACAACAAAATGACTTCAGGTGAGTCATTAATTTATCAGTGGAAAAGAAATGTTGGCCATTGGATAAAATTCCCGTTCTTAGCTACTTTACCACGCCCCTTGCTAATAGTACTGGAGATTTATAGTCACCCACAAATACGTACAGTGCATGTTTGCAATGAGCAGCACAGTGGCTAGTACAAAATGCCTCAATTCAATTAGTTCATTATACTTCTAGGTACATTTTTACAAAACACATTGTCGTTCGCATTCACTTTTCGCGAAGGTTTCTGAAACCAGAGTTTTCTCCGGAGAAGTTGAGCGCCGTGACATTTACAACAGTCACACATGTCGTCGCACAACATTTTTCTGCTATGAAGGGTTGCGTGATAATTGAAATAGTTGCTTTGATGAAGGCATCTATTGTAATATGGACTTAAGTTGTTTTTTTTCTCTGGGTAGGTACCAGTGAGGGTGAAGACAGCAGCTGCGAAGATTCTAAGTCAGGTGTTGAAAACGAAGCAGGGAAGAAAACGATAGGAGATCCAAAAGTTGCAACAAAGCACGGCCATCAGCCAGTGTTCGGTAAGTGAAAATAAAAGTGGCGTATTGGGACCAATGAGAGCTCAAAGTTTAGGTCTTATGACCAGTCGAAAGCGCGAAAAGTGGCGTACGCCAGGGCCGAGTTGTTCGAAGCCTGATTAATTTAACCCAGTGTGTAAGAATTTTGATTTTGTAACTTTTCGGTGACGTTTTCTGTTTATATTGTTTGTCCTTCAGTTTTGAGCTTGATTAACCTCAAATTAGGCTGCGAAAAGCATTTTCATACAAGAAATATTAATACTTACTTTTAAACTTGGGTTAGCGTTAACCTGCTTTTTAACGACCCGGCCCTGATGAATGAGGGGGGCGGGGCGGGGGAGGTGTTTTGCGTCCTATTGGCCCGAGAAGATACCATCTTTCCTTTGATTAGCTAGAGAGTTTTACACGAGGTTTCTCGACAAATGCAAAAACAAACTCAACGGAGAAGCATGAAAAGGGAATCAGTTGAAACTGATGTGCCAGTGAAACTGGAAATCTTTCACACTTTCTTCTCATTTCTAAGGTCCTGCTCTTCTCCACCGTCTGTATGGCATGGCCGCCAGCTCGCGGCAGGAATCTATTGTTGGAGAGACAAGTATTAACAGCAGTAACAGGAACGAGGCAGAGTCGTGTAGAACTGAGAAATACCACCCCAGATCAATTCTGTTCAGTGGACCTCCCCAGGTAAGGCACAATTCAGAGAAAGACAACTGTTTTTGTAATGACCGCTGTAGGACCAAGACAAAACTAATGTTAGGGCCAACCATTAAGATGGAATAAACGAGAATGACAGTCTTATGTAGATTGTAACAAGAATATAGCTCCGCTATTACTTCATCGCCTTCCACAACGTCTAAAATTTCTTCAAAATCATCTCCCCACAAGAACAGATGGTCCATACTGTCCGCCATCTTGAATGAACTTGTGCACGGTCAGAGTCACGTGGCGGACCTATTCAACATCGGAGACCGCTCTATTGTTTTGCCCTTTGCAGTTCGCTGGCTATCATAACCAGTCTACTGTTTATCTTTATCTTTAATCATTATTTATACACGGTAAAAAAATTCCTCAGGTACAATAAATTCCAATGAAATGCCTAAGATCCCAAACCTAAAATTCTAATCCTAATATTATATTAACTTACGACAATATTCTACGTATAAATCTGATTTCCATGAATGCCGTGTGTTTAAAAATTATGACACAGAAAGCGTTTGAATTGATTTAAGGAACCACAAACTCTCTAATGTTACTGGGTAAGCTGTTCCAAAGGGTTGCGCCGCTGTTACTAAAACTGCCAACTAGGAGGCGAACTTTTTTCTACTCTCATGCATCGATTATCATCAGCGCTTGGTCGAACGAGCTGAGTGTAGGGAGAGTCTGAGTCGACTACTGATTTGATCGGATTTAGGTTTCTCGAATAAAACAAACCATACAAGTAGTGGGTCAATTAGACCTTTCAATTGCCAGTTCACGTTTTTAAGTAGACAATCAAAGGGGCTCAGTCACAGTATTTTGGCCGCGTACAAACTTACCTTTAAACTGAAGGAAACCGAAAAATAGTAGTTTAATAAGATAGAAAAACACCGAGGAGATACTAATAAACCGTAAAGGAACAAGAATGGAGAAGATTAACACGGATTACAAACCACGAACTTGAAAATTTAGGTGCAAACCGTGACGTACTCCTTGAAGGGGATATTGTTTTGACGAACCACCAAGTTCTCAGAACCAGCATTAAAAGAAATGTATGAAGATGGTAAGGAGAATTAATGGTTCGAGCTTGAGGCTGAACGGCTTCAAAAATATATTTGCAACAGGTCAATTGATAGCATCAATGCAGTGACTATGGTAATCAAATTAATCTTTTTCTTGTAGCATGATGTGGACCCGATTTAGTGAAGCCCTTTGTCTTGTTTTGTGTTGCACATACTTCTTGTTTATTCGTTTTATTGCAGGTGGGCAAGACTCACTCGTACCTGCATTTTGTTCGTCTTCTGCATCAAACAGTCCAGAAACTACGACGAGTCGATGTGTACAACGAAACTGTGTGTACCCCAAAGGAGAGTTCTTTACAAACCACACCCATCCCCTCGGGAACCAAGCAAGAGAGAATGGCATGGCCTGTGTATAACGAAGTCTCCAAGCTTCCCTTTAGTTGTCTCTTGGGCGAATACCGCTACACCAAAACCAGCAAGCTTCGAGCCCATGCCTCTACCGGATGCACCGTGTCGGGGGACGCCTCTGCACAACCCCTGTCCGTCAAACCGTCGCCACGGCGACCGACCTGTCCCATGATGCTTTCGTATTGGGCGGCTTACGACACGTATCATCACTGTGACGGGTGTAAGAATTACCGCGAGAGCATGGGTCCTAGTTCGTCGTTGGCTTGCACATTCACGCTGCAGTGTGGGGAGAAACTACACTTCATCATACCGCACAGGTGCCTGCCGAGCTTCAACTTCACCAAGGACAAGCAGCTGCGCAGTCTCCGACTCCCCGTGGTACTGACTGGCGGCAGTGGCGAGGTAGTGAAACCGCTGAAGACGGAGTCAGGGAGCGCGGAAGAAGCAGGCGGAGTTAGAAGTCCCATAATGATGCCGAGCACGGGAAGACATGAGTATGGTAAGAAAAATGACGAAATATGTGAAGAGTAGCTTTTTGACCGTTATACACTCCCGAAAACATTTTTTAGAAAAATCCAGTGCTCTTAGACTCTTTAGCTGATCAAAACACCAAGAAGTGTCGCAGGAGGCAGCAGGATCGAGTGGTTAGGACGCCGGACATGAAATCCGCAAGTCCCGCTCTGACCGCTAAGCTGGAGTTGTTTCTCGGTAGACCCTAGTTCAACTCCTCGGTCATGCTTGTAAATAGCCAACTGGTCTGCCTCCCGTCAGTTAGGATTTTTAAGCCTGTTATATTTCGTAGGTATATTTGTTTCTTTCAGTTTAAGTGGCATGCCTGTAAACTAACTAGGTGTCGCAAAGCGCACTGATCATTATAAACAACAACATTTGAACGTGTGAAAAGTGTTAACGGTATTTCTGTGATGGTAATTCTGCAAATTGTACCTAAATTCAGAAAACAGTTTCGTAAAGTAATCCCATATCGCAACACGATCGATCATTTTCGCAAAATTTCAGACAGCATTCAAAGCGTAATTTCTTGTCAGTTCGCCCATATTTTGTTCCATTCCTTCCCTCACCATTCTTACTTAGTAATGGGTGTCTGTTGCTTGCCATGTACTGTTTCAACTCTGAAATTCATTTCTGGGCTCGCATGATGCTGGTGTGATAATGCACGTCTCGAATTTATGCTTAGAAATAGATCATTCAAAAGATATAGTTGATCAGTCTTTGGAGCTCTTTGAAAAAATATAGGAATATACTTGCTGTATTGTGAAAAATAGAATTTCTATTCGGAGAAGTGAAGGTTTGTAGAGGCTTAAGGTCGCTTAATCTGTATTACCAGGCCTGCTGAACCTGTACCACGCCATGGAGGGTGAGAGCCACACCCAACTCGTGTTTGTAAAACACCACGAGATGGCACTGTATCACAAGGCGTGGCCAAATCACGTGATTGTTGGACTTCCTGTCAGTTCTGATACACAAGGCCTGGGAGCGGCTCGCTTCTACATCAAGGTAATGGACAGAAAATTAATCTTAAAGGAGCTCAGTCACGGTATTTTGAGTTATTTTGGTCGCGTAAAAAAAAAAAAAAAAAACATCTTTAAACTGAAGGAAAGCTGAAAATAATAGTTTATTAAGAAAGAAAAGCTCTTATGAGATACTGATACACCATGAAGGAACAAGGATGGTTAAGGATGGAGAAGATTTACACGGATTGCGAACAACGAACTTAGAAAATTTAGGCTAAACTTTTCAAGATGCGCAAGCCGTGACGTAGCTCCTTTGAGGACTTGTTAAACAAGGAAAGAGCATTAGTTATCCCTATAAACTACGCGTCTGACATATTTCAGAAGCTAACATGAGCTTTGGTGTTCGTTTCGAAAGAAGAAATGGACGGATTCGGCTAACGTATTTACACATTTGTTGCCACCCAATTCAGATCATGTGATGATTCATTTGGGAGGTTACAACTGTTCTGTCCGTATATACTCCCATGCAATGAGTTACGTGTGTCAAATTGCACAATTGTAGTCCCTCAAATGAATCATCACATGATCTGAATTGGGTGGCAACAATGAAGTAAACATCTTAGCCGAATCCGTCTATAACTTCCACTTTGCGAGCTGTAGAATGGTCTCATTTCGCTCGCAGCCAAGTGATGGAATTTCAGTGCCATCGTTTAAAGCAAATAACAGGGAGCTCTGAGCTCTGAATTTTCTGCCACATGAGTTTAGGGCTCAATTGACTGGCAGAGAACATTAGCGTCAGTTGATAAAGTGAACCTCGTCTCAAACATTGCAAATTAAACCGTAAAATTCCCCAATCTAGAAACGAGCTATAGGTTATTGGTAAAGGTTGTTGTCAAGCCATCAACTAGGTGGCATGCAAGCTAGGCACTTGACTCTAGGTCCATAGCACTGTGGGCAAAGTGTCTTGCTCAACAGTGCATCCGAATCTTTCAATCCGGATTCACCATCCAATTGGGGCAATTGCGCTTCTCACCAACTACCAACAATTTAAGCCTTCCTGTGAAGTCACAGAAGGAGACATCGCTGATTGGTTTGTTGTTTGGTGGGTTTTGTTTGTTTTTGTTTTCTCCGCTCAGTACATTTTTCTTGCCGAGTCACTATTGTGCAAGATTAAAACAATATTGTTGTCTATTTGCAGGAATTCGCCACGGAGAATTGGATTGCTGAGCGTGACCGTCACGCAATCCATGGCAAACGCGGCCAAGACGTGTGGCCTTTTATTTTCATGATGGACGACTCTTGTGTCATGTGGCAAAACCTTCTCAAACAGTGAGTGTATAGTTAACTAAGCGATAGAAGAGTGGCTTTCCAATGACTGTTGAGAGATTTCCGAGATTTGAGCCGGTGAAATATTCCTGTCTGTTAACGCTATACTACAGGTTGATTGCTAATCGCGCGCAGAAAATCGCTACAGAATATCAACCAATCAGAGACTTTACACAGGGTGCTATAGTGGTACGTCATCGGGACGGAACATTTGGACTCGACGCTCACACGTCTCGTTCTCGCGTGGCACTCGTGCGGCAATCTGGCTTGAGGTGAAAATGTGTGCGTGACGAGAGAGACATCAGTTTTATTTTTTACGCTACCGTCATGAACTCTAAATAATCACAGCATGAACATAACGCGAGCAAAACGCAACTGAAGAGCAGTTGATAGCATTATTATAAGGTTACTGAGTTTGGTTTTTGCATTTGACTTGCTTAGAGGACAAACTCGTTAGATAATTTCTTTTCGATTTTTTGTGTCGTTTTGCTGAGTATCTCCTTGTAACAGAAAGAACCAGTGGCAGATCCAGACCTTGAGCTAAGGGGGGTGGGGGTGGGGCGGGGGGCGGTTTTGCTTGCCCTGCCGGCTTTCCTTCCTTCTGTGATTTCTTCTTTTTTTACCCAAAATAAGGGGGAGCCCCGGCCCCCCCGGACCCCTCCCCTAAATCCGTCACTGAGAACTGCACTCTGGTAAGAACTGTGCGCTTTTTTTCTCTGTTTGTTAACGGTCTCTGTGTGTTTGTGTTTAGAGATGAGTCCTCAGCCAAGGACACAGATGGACCTCCTTTTATAATGACCTCCCTTGTGAAGGTCCTTCAACAGCTGGAAAGCACACCAGACTTGATGAACTACGGCATGCTAGGCGTTCAACAATATAGCGCCGACGCCTCGGCCCCTGTGGCACAAGGGTCCTTTTCACACTGTCCGTTACACTCCTCGATCATGATGAACCTCAGTAAACTACAAGGGATCAAGTACAACCCGCATCGGTACTGGTGGGAGGATGTGGACCTGAGCTTGCAAGTGCTGGCTGATGGAATCCCCACCTGTCGTTTCAACCATCTGGTTGTTGCTAAGAAGTTCATAGAGACGGGTGGTAACACCGCCTTCAAGGAGGAGCCAGCCGTCAATGCGGAAGGAAGCAACCACAACAAAGAGCTCCTACCTGGGGATAAACTAGTGACTGCTCCTGATCGAGAGGATGCACCCTACCTCCCGGTCCCCGCGTACTACCTCCTGGAGCGGTACCTGGAGCTGATGGGTGCGGCTCGGCTCTTTCCCGAAGCTGTAGATAACTCAGATCATCCAGTCCTTGTGGTAGATTGTTATGTTAATCTTGGTCCGAGGATCTGTTTGGAGTTTGTCAGTTCCCGCAGCACGGACAAAAGCAAGAAGAGCGACAAACAGGACACCAGGTATGGCTGTTTCTCTAGGCGGCTATGTGATGGTTTTTTGATCGAATGTTTACTAGTCATGCAAGGCTCTCGAGTGGTATAAAATGGAGTCTCCCACGAGCCTTAAAGTGCACCTAACCCCCAAAATTTTTTTCCCCTAAAACGAATCTACTTGTTATTTGAAATAGTTCTGCGAAAAAATGTTTGGATTCCGTTAAATCCTCGATTTTCTGTGCCCCGACGAAATCTCGAAAATAGCTACAAAACACCGCCATTTTGTTTCACGACCGAGTTCGAGGAGAATGGGTCCAGCGGCTCCTGTGACGTCTACCCAGGAAGGTTGAATATCTCACGTCCTCTCATTTCCTTCAGGATGGTGCAACACCCACAAAGTAACAAATTTGCTATGGGTGTGGAGAATAAGGCTACAGGTGACTAAAAAATTAATGACAGCCCTGCTCTTGCTTATAACCAGAGGTACTTTTTGGTTTACAGATAGATAGGCCTTACTGCCTATAAAATGGGGGCTTGTAAGTAGGTGGGGGGAGGGGGTTCTAAGCACCAGTTTATGGTATTGCTTGTCAAGGTGAAAGCTACATACATGTAGTGTCATGTATTAGACGACACAGAAATCAAACATTCCAAGACTTTTGACTTTTTTCTTGCCTAACAGTTTATGTCAATACGCAATTTCTATCTTCATTTATACTCAATCACTTGCCAACAAAATGCGGGGACTGCTGATAAACAATCTAGGAATTCTACAAGAAAAAAAATGTTAATTTTTTATTCTCAAGGATATGGAAACTATTGAAAAACTTTTCAAGACCAGCTGTACACATGCAGATCCAGAACTGTAATAATTTTTTATATCATGCTATCACTTCCCAGTCCTCCTCAAGGGAAAATAACAGCATGAAATAATAGGATGAAAAATTAATAACGCCACTAGATGCTTTCTAACATGGCAACATCTCTCAAATTTGGTCCCTTCAATCCTTTGTCTAGTATCTTAACTTTGCTATCCATAAACTGTTCAGTAGTTGTTTGCCAGCAGATTCTCATACAAAAACTGTACTATCTAACACTGTTGCCTAGACCATCAAGATGGCTAATCCAAAACCGTGATAAGTTACAGTCGAACCCTATAAATTCGGCCACCAACGGGCCATGAAAATTTGGCCGTATTAACAGGGTGGCCATATTAACAGCGTAGGGTCAAACCTCACGACTGTTCTAAATTGAGTGATGTCTTAGCAACAAATACATCACAATTACACTGCTAAACAGCTGTTCTTTAATAAGCATCTGGAATGCAGAGATAGTTAAAAAATAAAAACTGAAACTTGCATTAGTGTGTAAAGTATTATCAATGGAAAGATGGACATAAGTAGTTTCAGTGGCCGTATAAACGGGGTGAAATTATAAAGGATTATACAGGTTGGGATTTCAGAATGTGGCCGTCGGCCGTATCGGTATTAATGGGGCCGCCGTACTAACGGGGTTTTCTTACAAGAAAATGTATGGGCGTTTTGCCGGGACAAAACAAAGTGGTTGTAATAACAAGGTGGCCGTATTAAAGAGGTGACCGTAAGGCGTGGTTCCACTGTAGTTACGTCCCTGTTCCAGCTGGAAATCTTCGGTTGTTCACAGAGTGAATGACTCTGTCCACCACATAAATCACTATCTAGTGGATCATCTTTGACAAAGTATACTAGGCTATCCACCGGACAGCGTTACCCATCCCTTGAACAACTGGCGCCTAATCTACATCACTACATGTACAACTGACAGAAAGTAAAATTGCGCCCTAGCTATGCGAACAGCTTACCCAACAAACGTTTGAATTTAAGCTCTGCATCTTCCGTGCCTGATGAATCGTTCCTCGAGCGTTTGGCCCTTAAGTTTAATTCGACTTCCATCGCTTCATCTTAGCCTGGAGTAGAGCACAAATCCTGCAAAAACTTCAGCTGTTTGTAAGCTGAAAATGTAGTCCAGTTTGCGCGCCAACACGCAGAAAACAGTCAGGCTGGCACAAATAGCCATAATGTGTTGTGTAAAAGGGCATGAAGTGTCTTTGTTGTTACAAGCCAGCATCCGGCACAGCATCCAGGCCTTCACTGCATGTCACGTGATCTAAATTTTTGCGCGCGCTGTTTGACTAAACATTCATAAAGATGGCGTCGGTTAGATCTCCGCTTTCATCTGAGTCAGAGGGAGAATTATTTGAGGTAAATAACGAGTGGTTATCCTTAAATGACTGAAGCTTTAATATTGTTAATGGGAGGTCTGTAAATCAGAAATCCTTTGTGTTTGGCCTTGATATAACAGCTTGTTTTTAAATCTTGTCTACTCCGTGTCAAATGTTTGAACTCGGCTGGTGGTGAGATTTCTGATCAATACGTTATGTCGTTAAATAATTAAACTGACGCTTCAAAAGTAAGCACTATGTGGAGAAACTGGATTATCAGGGCCATCTGACTTATTCACATTGTTATGTTCAGATTAATGTATGAACCCTTTTATTTTTTTAACTCCCAAACTTCCTGTGTTATCTTGTGTTGTTTTTGTACGTAACCTCATGCTGTATAAACAGAGACGATCAAACGTTGTTCATCACGCAACACTTTGGTTGAATATTTATTTGATCTAAGTCAAATGTTTTAGACCAGATGTTGCATAATAATCAGTGTTTGTTTAGCAAAATCTTTTAGTTTCATTTATTTTTAAGATTCATTACGCTTTCGTGTAAGCCTTCCGTGCAAATATCCTTGTAGCACCTGTGAAAAGACGTTCCAAAGTCCCCAAACGAATGTTTCAGAAATTCTTAATGGATCTTACAAAAAACTTCCATGTAATTTAGATCCTTGATAAGATAAATATCAGACAGGATCTTAGTAAAACTCTTTGCTGGGTCTTTCAGAATCTTTAAGGAATCCAGCCCTGGTAAAAATCTTTCAAGGATCTTTGAGGATCTTTCTGATGATCTTCATCAAGATCTTTAGAGATCCTGGTCAAGGACATCAAAGTTTTTGCAAGATCTTGAAAGATCCTTGAGGTTACAAACTATTGCAGGATTTTGAGTATTGTTGGAACATCATTGAGGAATCTTATGGACAATCCCTGTACCTGGACAAAAAAACTCTGGAAAATCTTTGGGGAATCCAAATGAAAATCTGCTATAGATATTTGAAGATCCTTGAAAAATTTCCGTTAGGGCTGCACACAAGAAAATTCATTATAGACATTATAGTCATCTGTCTAGTTAATGAAACATATGTACACGTAATTTGAGAGCTTTATAAATCATATTGTCCAAAGATCAAGGGAGACTTTTTTTTCGCTTTAAGTTTTAAGTAATATTTAATAACTGTTCCACAAATCGCATGGTTATTTTGTAGGTTGAACGTATTCTTGGCAAAAGAACAAGAAATGGTAAAGTAGAATATCTGGTCCACTGGAAAGGCTTTGGTCCAGATGAAGACTCTTGGGAGCCAGTGAAAAATTTACGTGGTTGCCATTCCATAATCAAACAGTTCACTAAAACAAGATCACCTTCACCAGGGAGAAAAGCGAGGACCTCCAAGGTGTTTTTAAAAATCAAATTTGTTAATTCAACTGTATATACATGTATACATGGTGGGATGCAGTAGAGCTAAGAAAATACTAAGGGAGCTCATTAACAAGCCCAGCTGGCTTTTCTAGTCTTGGCAGCTCAAAGGTTATCCAAGTCTCTTTTTGTGTGAATAAAATTCTTTTTCAGCTGGCGAAATTACCTGGGGCAGATCTAGGAGGGTTGGAGTGGTTTGGTTGAACCCCCTAAAAATATGAGACATCATAACACACTGTCTTGGCCTCAAAAATCCTATTTCTGAGGGCTTCAATTTTGAAAATTTTTTGGGGGGATGACCCTGGACCCCCTAAAGGGGATCGGCCCATATATATCAAACCCCCTTCTCTAAACTCCAGTATCCACCTCAGATTATAGTAGTTGGCAGCCAGCCTTTAGTGACATCCCTGATATGATTGCTAATTACATTATTACTACATGATTAATGTAGAAATGTAAAATGTGCAAAAATCATGGAGTCCTCCTGGGATGGAAGCATTATATTTCTATCCTTGTGTAATTCTAAATACACAGGACCAACGAAGATCTGAAAACTAGGTCAATTCAAATCTAGAAATTTATGTTTGAAAATCTTTATTTATAAAAAAAAAAAAACAAAACAGGTTGGCTCTAAAACCTACAGCATTTCACTACTGAAAAATATTTTTCTTCGTGTGAGGCATCAGAGACAATGCTTTGCAGTCGGAAGCTGTTATCCCATGAAATCACTGAAAAACTATGTGATCTTAAAGTCCTTGAGGATACAGCTTTGGGGCACTATTTTAGATGTGGTGTGCATGTTTAGGAAAATCTCTTGACTTTTTGTCTTTCTCCACCCAGGAGTATAAATAGGTGGTAGCCAGGGATCAAAATTAATGTTCATAAACTCACAAAATGCAAGTAATTTTGATAATCTGCGAGTGAGAAAAATATCCCCTAGCAAACATTTGTGGGTTAGAATCATCCATGTCTCCCAAACAGTTGGAAAGAATTTGCTAGTGGTCTCACCAGTTTGCTAGTGGAAAACATCTTACTAGCAAAACTTTGTAAGTGGACTAACAAGTTAACTTCAAGCCCTGTAGTAGCAAGTTGTAATATGTACACTGTAATGTTCTACATGCACATGTGGCATGCTGTTCAAGAAATGTGGCAGTGTTCCTATTTGCTCTATATCATACTATGTTTTGCAGAAGGGAAATCAGCACACACTGGTTCACTTATCCCATTGTAGCTCAGTTAGAGAGACCTTGTTACAGTATAAGTCCTTTATCTCAACACCAAAACATCCTTGAAGCAAACCCATAAAGTTTCATATATATGTTGATACATGTTAAAATAATATAATCATAAAATGATTTCATTTTATGGCTGTCAAGTATCTTAATGCTCTGCTTGTGTGCTTTGAAAACAAAAGTGTTACATATTATTTTTTATTTGTATGTATCATTTCCAATAGAGAAATAAAGCAGTCCAACAAGTACAATCAAAAGAAGAAGTTCAGCCAGTTGATGAAGATTACACAAAACTAAAAACACCAAATACAACAGAATCATCAGACTACAGGATACTTCGCAGGAGGAAAGGCAAGTTCTTTGCTGCAAAGTGTGCGTGTGGTATAATGTTGTCTTGCTAGTGTACCACTGTTAAAAGAAACTCAGATTGACACTGGACAGTACCACTCAGTACATACCACAAACTATTCAGGAAAATTTGTAACTTTGTTGGGGGAGGTGCGGTGGCCTCATGGTTAGTGCGCCCGACTCCAGATCAAGCAGTTCAGGTTCAAGCCCTGGCCAGGGACATTGTGTTGTGTTCTTGGGCAAGACACTTTACTCTCACAGTGCCTCTCTCCACTCAGTTATAACTGAGTACCTGCAAATTTAATGCTTGGGGTAACTCNGCTTCATGCTAAGGAAACTGGATAAGCTCCGGCCTAGTGGGTCACTTGGCTCATATGCAGACTTTACCTTGGGCTCTCTTTGATCTTGACAAAAATACAAAATATTTTGTGAAAACCAACCACTGCTTTATAAACCTTTCCTGAAGAATGTCAAATTTCTCTTCAATCTTGACAAAAATACAAAATGTTCTGTGAAAATCCACCACAAATAATTTCTAAAACACTGTTACTACATGTATGTCTTTCACAATATTCTCACAAGATCTATTGAAAAGGATTTTCCTAATGGAAGGCAACTTTGAAAATTGGATTGTCAATCTGAAAATCAAACCAATCTCGACATACATGTACCGAGAACAATACATCAAGTCTTATAACCCTGTAACAAGAAAACTTGCATCAGACTTTTGGTGGTGCTTTTTTTAATAGTAACCTCATGGCAACAGTCCAAAAAAACTTGAAAATAAAACAGCAGCCTGTGGATTTTTTGGATGCTGTTCCTAAAAGAGAGCTACAAGAACACACGTCTGCCTAGCAGCTCCAAAGTTTACCCAATCTTTGTTTTCAGCCAGATTTGAGATCTCCTTCAGCCAGAGAAATTAGAAGGCAGCTCCCCCTTAGTGACACTCCTGGATACAATAAATAAGTTTCAATTTTGGGTGATGTTTTAAATCTTGGGAGGTGGGTGGCCTCATGGTTAGTGGCGCTCATCTTCCAGATCGAGTGGTCCATGTTTGAGCTCTGGCCGGGGACATTGTGTTTTGTTCTTGGGCACTTTACCCTTACAGTGCCTCCCTCCACCCAGGTGTAGAAATGGGTACCGGCGAACTTAATGCTGGGGTCAACCCTGCAATGGACCAGCATCCCATCCAGGGGGAGTAGAAATACTCCTTAGGCAAGTCGTTTCATGCTACAGAAACCAGGATAAGCTCTGGCCTGCTGGGTCTCTTGCCTTACCTTTAAATCTTGCAACGTTGGTTTCTAACAAACAGTTTAACTACATCTACACTGCTGTATTTCTATATTGGATACAATGGTTCAGGGAATTCTTATCCGGAGTGCAAAAGTAAAGCATAAAATTCTTTTAAGTCTTTCATCACCCTATGTATACAGGGTTTGTACGGGTCCTGGAAAACCTGGAAAGTCCTGGAATTTTATTGTGACATTTTCCAGGACTGAAAAGTCCTGGAAAAGGGCTACTGGTCCTGGAAAGTTCTGGAACTCTGTTNTCCCTAAAACGCGGTCGTGAAACACTTCAAGCGCGACTTTGAAAGGGCATAGAAAATCGAGGATTCAACCTAATTCAAAAATTTCTTCGCCCAAATGCTTCAAATAAAGTCTAGATTCGATTTAGCGAAAAAAAATTGGGGTTAGGTGCACTTTAAATTTATACGAAGAAAATACAGATGACAAGTGAGATATTCCGTGGTATACCACGAGAGAGCGTTGCACAACTAGACTGGATTTCACCAGAGGATGACTCTTGGGTGGGTTGCTCATGGTTTAAAATCTATCGTAAGATTTCTATCATTTGATCGCTTCATCATTATGTTTTTTTTTTAGCATTATTCAGGGTTCGTACGGGTCCTGGAAAGTCCTGGAAAAGGGCTACTGGTCCTGGAAAGTTCTGGAAATCTGTTAAACTCAAGTAAAAAAATATCAAATGTATGGCAGACAGTAAGGAGAATTAACATTAAGATCTTGGGAGTGAAAGGGTTAATGTGAATTTTAGAGTCCTGGAAAAATCAATCTGAGTCCTGGAAAAGTCCTGGAAATTTGTTTCTGAAAAAGGGTATGAACTCTGTGTAGTGTAAGCTGCTGACTGTGATAGACGCATTGGAATCGCCTATTCCAATGAGGTTTTTTGATGTTTTCTTTTCAGGTATGGTGGCTTGTTGCTTTATTTCTGCCGTCGCTCAGTGTCAGCGGCCTTCCTCGCGCAGTTCAAGTTCGCCCCACGCTCTCGCCTATGTCTGGTGTGTCAGGACCGGAACACGCTCAGACAGGAAGTAGCGCGATTAGACTTGGAAGAGCATTGGCGCTTCCGGCTCCGGGACGAGTTTCAGACGGCGAACAGCCCAGACGAACCTGCTCTTTACTTTCTGACTGGAAAGCACGATGACTAAGTAGATAAATCTAAAGAACTCGTTTTGTGCGAAAGAAGGCGTGAAGGAGATGTTATCGCTCTCTGAGATACGTGGAACATTACATGGTACAACATGTGTTCGGCTCTTAACGTATGTGCATCTTCCGACACATTTCCGGCTTCCGAAAAATCTTCGGTTTCCGACACATCTTCGGTTTACTAATTTGTAAACGACAGACGAAAAATCCTACGGTTTCTTTAACTGGAGTTCCAAACCAATGCCTTGACCTATCTCAACAACGAGGCTCAAAGTGTGAAACACAAAAGCCTAAATTCGACGAGTGTTTCCTCTGTGCTATCAAGGAACAACTGAAAGGTCTTTCAAACGAGTTTTAATCTCGTGGTATCTTCTTATAAGTATGTATTCCTGGAGATATGAAACTCTTATTTAGAAGTTCCTCAAGACTTCTCTTGTATTTAGCCTCGAGCTAGGCTCAATATTTTCTATTTAATATAACCAGAACACAGTTTCTGCTTGGTATTGCTGGCTAAGCAAGGAGTATATTTTATAATTATGGTTACATTCGAGTTGGTGAGATCAAGAAGATATATTATATTCACCGACAGATTCAGTATATATTAGGACAGTCAGGGTGTTTCAAAATATGTTGTTCACTGTTTTTTATTGTTCGCGAATACGTCCAACTTTCAGCCAAGGTTTAAATTTGTTGCTATTTTTTCTCTCGCTTTCGTTTTATCCTAGGGAGTTTCCCAAAGAGAAGTTCCCCCAGTAGAGCGTAAAAGTAAAGCGATTTTTCTAAACGAGGTTTTCAGCATGTTTTAGAAGAAAAATTACGTTGTACAAGGTACATTGCTGTTGGTAGAAAAACAACATTATGGGAAAGTGCATTTGTATTTGTGGACGTTACAGTAAGTCCGTTATTAAGTTATTATTATTTTTTAGTAATATGAATGAATTTGAATCATTTGTAAGTATTTTTATCTATAACTCGAGAGCTTATCACTACCTTGATTTTATCGTAAGAGGTTACATCGCCAGAAAAAGTTCTTTTATTTTAGTTTTATCGTATTTTTCCTTTACCTCTTGTCTCGAGGCTAGCAAGCACTCGCGCAAAGCAAAGAATAAGGTAATATATCGTGAGGTAACTCCTTTGATAAGAGAAAATTGAGCTATAGAGTAGTATGACAGGACTTTGTTCACAGGGAAAATTATGAACGTTGAAGAAATGAGTTTTGACAATGTTGGCTTCTTCCCTGGCGACGCTGGGGCTCGAACAGAATGGCAGTCTGGAAACCAGAAATCTGGCAGAGGGGAAACTCAGTGTTGTTTGGGGGGATGGGGGAGGGTGGCCCCAGACTCCCATCGGCCGAAAGTCCACTGTTGCTTTCAAAGGAGACTAGAAAAATTGCACTTTCATAGTTCTAAGATGAAACGCTCGGTTGAGGGAAAAAAAAAAAGGAGAACAAGAGAAATTTTGTCTTTCATAGGCGCTTTCCGGAAACACAACTTTGTTGAAAACAGTGAAGAAAGCGTTCAATTATGTTTTGCAATTTATATTCCCCAACGTTATGAGTAATGCTCAGCACCAAACCAAGTGGCAGTGTTTTGATCGAGAAGTAATTTTGGATTAAACTAAATTACTCAATACGAGAAAATTGAAAACTTACCTTCCAAACTAGTTCAAAGGTATATAAGATACAATCCTTGCGTATATCGCTGAAAATTATTGTAATCGTACGTGTAAATTATGAACTCATTAAAAATACTGAATTTAGAGAATTGTGGATTTTTTTCCTCATCTTAACTTTTTCTTTTCGAGTCGTAGAGCATATCAATATGTTTTCTCCCGTACGTTAGTGTAAACGCTGGCCAAAGCAAGATTAACATCTGATCGTACAATCCATCAAAGAAGTTTCCATGGGCACTATTGATGGTCTGCAACCAGTCCCGAGGGATCCAAATGACAAAGGCCTAGCGGCCATGTTGGACGATGCAAGTAAATGTCATCCAATAAGGCAGCGATAACGTCACGTGATGCCTTTTAAACTGGGCATTATCTCCAAGTGGTATCACCCAGTTTTAGTAATCGGACTTTTGCGTTCATATTTATTTGAGCCACACTAAATAGTGGAACTGAATAAAACTGAATCATTTGAGCAGACTAGCCAAAATTTTCGTGAACACCCACAGAATTATACTTTAACTTGTATATTTTCGTGCCAAATGGATATTATTGTTCGTACAACTAGTCATCTCAGAAAAATTGTTTTTATTGTCCCAAAGGTGATTTTAGAACATGACGTCTGAATTCGTTAAGAAAAAAGAATCTTAACTTAAAAGAATATGTATTCTTTTCCTTTCTACCCAGACCTCTTTCATTTGTTCTTCAGGGAATTGACGTGTGAGTCTCGGTACAAGAGAAGCGACGGCCACAACGCGGAGAACAATGAGTTAACGCTTTTCTTAAAGATCGCTTAATTATCTCGTTTTTTTTAATGTGTCCATGGTTGTCTAAGCTAAACACCATGCTGTTGTTATTTTTAAGACAAAGTTCAATTCCAAATGCAAAAACATGAAAGATAAGCCGTGGACGGTGTTGTTTTGCAAACGACTGCAAAAAAAAAAAGCCCAAAATGTATAAGCGCTCTATCTCGCAGAGCCATTGTTTTGCTCATTGAACCTTTTGTTTGGCAACGTCCTCGTTGTTGGCGTGATTTGCGTAAACTTCCCAGCGATTAATTTGCCAGAGCCCGCCGACATTCTCGTTGAACCACTCCGCTTCTAAACGATCTGATTGAAGTTGAGCTGACAACAGAAAGCAAGAAGGTAAAGGAACTCATTTGTCTGTTTTAAGGTAGGAATTACATCTACTAGACTTTAAATTGATCATTAGTAATTTAGGGATAACAAGGAAATTAGAGAAAAGATGAACTAGCTCGTCTTCCTAGCGTGTCGTAGTAAATCACAAAGACGGATTAGAAAGAATTGAGGAAACACACCTTCATGTTTTAATTACCTTCCCAGCTAACTCCACATCACAGCAAGTAAGCTATTACTGTCTCGGAAGCGAGATTCGGCCTCTGTGAACTTGCACAGATATATATTGTTGAATGAGTTAGTCGCTCATCTGCGATTCGCTGTCCTTAGTTTATTTGTCTTGTTAGCTGTCTTATCGTAGGTTAATCAACGCGTTCGTCTCTTTACGTTTGTCATGTGATTCGAAAATTCCAAGAAATAATTGTCACCCTCTGGAGATCACTGGAGTTTAACATTTTATCTTGAAACAGTCATCTGGAATTTTTTCTTTCGACTAACAAGACCCTTGGGTGCGAACTGAGGTTACAACATTTCGCAATATTTCTACTTGAAGTGGTTTACTAACAATGTTGTATTTGTAATGCTTTTTACGCTTTATAATTCCAGAAATAACCCCCTTGATGTTTCGTGTGTGTAAGGTTACTTTATAAGCCCTTCCCGCGTTGAGGTATGGGGGAATCTTTGTTTACATTATTTGCCTCATTAGCACGAGCGATTCAGTTTCTGATCAAGATACAAAAATATCAGTCCTGCCTATTAACAGGGCATGGTACAATTAACTGTCTAAAGGAATTTAAGGCCGATGTATTGAATACTTTTTGTCTGACGCGGGGTTTAAAAACGCAAAATCTTACAAAGAATGTATCAGCTCATTGGCGCTTTTGCCACCCAGCAATGTTGCAGTTATTGAAATCCAATTTCACCTTGAACGTGACATCTAAAGAGCCAAAAATTTAACCGTTTACTAATTTTCACAAGCTCGTTAGGTAGCGTCCACAGTACGCCTGAGAAATTTGAAAACGCAACTTTTATTTCTACGGTTAGGCCTACCGTCCACACTTATCCGTTACGAAAACGGAGCTTTTCGAAAACGCTCTTCAAACCGGAGGAATTTGAAAACGCCGGCTTTGTGTTTAAGTGTGAACGAAAAACATTTTGAAAACGGAGCTTTTCGAAAACGCTCTTCAAACCGGATGAATTTGAAAACGCCGGCTTTGTGTTTAAGTGTGAACGAAAAACATTTTGAAAACGGAGCTTTTCGAAAACGATGCCGTCATGACAATCATGTGAGATTTCTCTGACCGAGTTTTCCCTAAACACAAATCCAAAATGACCGGTGATTGTTGCGTTTTTAAATTCCTCCGTGGTAGTGTGAACGGCAAACATTTGATGCGTTTTTAGAGTGAAACCGCCGTATTTTAAATTCCTCCAGCGGAGTGTGGACGGAAAACATTTGATGCGTTTTCATGCGTTTTTAGAGTGAAACCTCCGTTTTTAAATTCCTCCAGCGGAGTGTGGACGGAAAACATTTGATGCGTTTTCATGCGTTTTTAGAGTGAAACGTCCGTTTTCATATTCCTCCGCCGTGGTGTGGACGGGGTCTTGAAATGTTTGGAGTCAATTCGTATCAAACACGATGCTTTGTAGTCGACATATATATCAGAAATTAAGTCATAAACGATCTGTCTCTATTGTTAGTGCAGCTTAGTTCATTCGTTTAGTGATAAACTGCACATTTCGTGAAGACGTCAGGATAGATGATCGAACCTTTCCTTGAGCGGAGATCGACAGACAGTGCAGGCGCCGAGGAGAAAACTCCTTACAGAAGCTGTTGAAAAATTCCATGTCCAGGTTCTCACGGAGTACGCAGGCCGGAATCTTGGCAGCCTGAGAAGTAATAAGAAGCATGGTTCAGATAAGGTTTTTGACAGACATATTCTGTCTGATGGATAAACAAGGGAAAAGTCACTTTCGCGATTCGGCAAAATATGGTAATTGCAAAAGATGTTTTCAGGAAATTACAGGGAGTTACGTTATTTATATTCTATTATTTTCAGAAAAGAAACTTTGCAGAATGTCCACAGTCTAAATCAGGTTTTTTTGTTCCCCGCCATTTTGTCTTAAATACCTTAGGCAGCGTCCACACTACCCCAGAGAAATTTGAAAACGGAGCTATATTTCTACGGTTAGGCCACCGGGTAACGATGGCGTCACTATAATCATGTGATTTCATTGATCGAGTTTTTCCTCAAACACACATCCAAAATTGTTGCGTTTTAAAACTCCTCCAGCGTAGTGTGGACGGAAAACATTTGATGCGTTTTCAGAGCGAAATCTCCGTTTTCAAATTCCTCCGGCGTGATGTGGACGGGGTGTTACGTGTATGTACCTGGGATGTTTATGGCGAGTGAAAACTTGAATGTAATTCTGCAAGGCTGAAAAAACTCTTAAACACTTAGTTTCAAAAGGTTTTTCATATTTGAATGTTCTTTTCCGTCATAGTGTCACGCATCGTATGACTGAGTTTTCTGCTCATTTCTACTGAGTATAAACTCAGCTAGTGTGGAATGAGAACTTACAGATGTAACAATGTTTCCTCGGTTGTCAATGCCAACATACAAGCCCGCCTCAGTTGCCCACAGAGTCGTCATGTTAGAGCCCTCGGAGTTGAGATGAAACACAGCTGAAAAAATAATCAGCGATTAATTCCCCTTGATCAAGTCCGAACTCCGAGCGCAGAGCTCAAGTACTAACGTTCTTCATATTTCCATCGAGCTCCTGGTTCTTGAAAGAAAGTGATCACAAAACCACATGAGTAATAATTTTATTTTCCTGTTGGGAATATCCGAAAAATGCTACTGTCAGCAACATGACAAGTAATGACTGTGTTATGCTGACGTTACAGCTTTTGAGACGCTCGTGCTGTTTAATGATTGGCTAATATGAATCGTTATCTCGTCGGGTACTTCACGAGGATTTGCCGAACACGGTGCTAGCTGCCCAAGCGAAACATGGCGTATTTTGTGGCGTAAAGTTTATTTCGTAAACTGGTGTTCTTTTTGTCATACTGTGCGTTCTTCTAACTCGACAACGAGGATGACTTTGTCTTCAATTTGATTTTGGTTCAAAGTATATTATGAAAAGAAGTCTGAAAAAGAAGAAAACTAGAATAAGTTTCATGTTTTTTTTTTTCAACATAAGGTTTATGTTTTAATTTCAACATAATGTTCATAATTATCAATCATTCCTTTCGTTTCAAAATGAACATGACTATTAAACCGAATATATATTTTGAATTGGGAATGAGTGAGTATTCGACTGCAGATGTACTTTCTTGATCGTTTCCGCTATCGATTTCTTCAAGCTGACAATGGAAATCTATTGCTTTGTTTTTGGATCATGAGAAGTGTCTCAGATATGATTCGCCACTAGATTAAAAATTAATGTCTAACAGGAAAATAACATGATTTGTCATTCACAAAATGCGGAAATCCTCAATGACTGTTATGAGTCCGGCAAAAGACCGATAAATGATATATTTTTGGTACTTACTGTATATGCTATCATTGTTTTTCGTTCCTCGCACTGTACCGTCCGGTCGAACTTCTAGATAATGGCCATTTCTACACTGTAGTTTTCGTTTTCTCGGCAACAAAGCTGTCCTCAGCTGTACTCGGAAGACCATCTCTACAGCACGGAAAAATCTCTCGAACACTGCCGATCCGATGAACGTCACAAAAATGATTGTCACCCTCTCAATTTCGCGTGTTCAACCGAAGCAGCTAATTGAAAACGGATATAAAATATAGTTTATCTGGTTTCGCTATAAATGTTGGTTATGTTTTGCCCACGAAACGAATATTTAGGAGATTAGTTCGTACTATTCACTTATTGGCTTATTCAAATTACGTGATCAATACAAGCTGAGCTATATATGCACCACTTTGATGACCAAAAATTTCTGCGCGTTGCAAAACATAACGTGTGTTTTTCTTTTTCACGTTCACCTAAATCAATTGCGTTAACTTTTGAAGTAAATTTTAAATTTTTTTTCTCCGGTATATATAGGCCTGAGTACAAAGGGTTTTTCGTAAAAAAAAACAAAAAAAACATAATTTAGATTTTTGCCTTTATTATATATTAATTTGATGTTAAATGATAATGTATAAAAACGCGCACAACAAAAAGAACCCGAATTTTCTTAGTGAATAAAACGTTTTTCGAGCTATTGTAGCTCTCACTGTAATCTTTTACACGCAGAAAGCTTACAAGAACTTCGTTAAGATTAAAATGTGAAATGATCCTCAACTGAATTAAAACACGGCTAATATCAGAAAATCTTCCTTAAAATTCCATTCGCTTTATTTGTTATCAAAAATTGGCTTCATTTGAATCCCTTTCAGGCTCCGTCCACACTACGCTGGAGGAATTTGAAAACGCAGCTTTATTTCTACACTTAGGCCTACCGTCCACACTAATTCGTCACGCAAACGGAGCTTTTTGAAAACGCTCTTCAAACCGGAGGAATTTGAAAACGCCGGCTTTTCGTTTACGTGTCAGTGAACAGAAAACATTTTGAAAACGGAGCTTTTCGAAAACGATGGCGCCATGATAATCACGTGATTTCCCTGACAGAGTTTTCCTCAAACACAAATCCAAAATGACCGGTGATTGTTTCGTAATTCAATTCCTCCGGCGAAGTGAGGACGGAAAACATTTGGTGCGTTTTGAGAGTGAAACCTCCATTTTCAAATTCCTTCGGCGTAGTGTGGACAGGCCATAGTTTCTTGCTGTTTTCTATCTGAATGCACTTTACGGCAGAAGTCGTTGGTTCCCCTCTCCTTCAATATTTACAATGACTACTTGTCGGCAACAGATTTCTAGTTGATCAAATTACTTAGAAAACTTCAGTGGCGAAAATTGCGGGCTCAGGTCGGACTAGGCGGTTTTCTACATTTACCGGCGTTGCTTAGCAACACGAAGAATCCTGAAATATATGGTGACTCTTTGTTCCACTTGAATGTTGTCGACATGAACCGTTCAATGTCCATTCCTGAACATTGACGAGGATTGTAATGGAACAAGTCGCAACGCGTTTCTCATTACTATTATTACCTAACTAATAGATAGATCACTCGGAGTAATACTTATATTCATCTTGTCCAAAGGACATCTTAATTAGGGCGCCATCTAAGAACGGAAAACTTCTGCACTCAGTTGAGCTGTCCAAGATGACCCAAGATGAGCAAAAATCCCATTAGAATTGACAACCTTATTGTATCGCTCTTGAAGCTGTTAGCAATCGCTATGAGAAGAGAATAACGTCTCTAGGTCTGATATCTCTTTTTGCCCAGGTTTATGTTACTTGGGTAAGCCTAGGTAAAATGTTGCTATATTTGCAATTATTTTTTTAACCGGAGAAGCTCTCAAAGCGGAAATTCGAGGAAAGAAGTAATCGTAGGTTTTTTCAAGCAAGAAAAAGATTCTGACATTCTTCATCAGGTCCTACAAACAGTCCGGGTGTTTTTCAGTGTTACGCAAGGTCGAATCCTTTCATGTATACTTTCTTTTGAAGCAGTCTGCTAGTAAACACGTCGCTAGACAGCTTTATTACACAAAGCATGCTCTTTGAAAGGTAGCCAAGCGTTTTATCGAAGAACTCAGCTGTGGCGTGAACAGATTTCAGAGATAGACCGTATAATATCAGTGACGCCATCAGCAGTCGATAAGTCGCTCTTCGTACCATCGTGTGCGTGCTTAGCGTGCGTGGCTTTGCGCGCGAGGAAAACTTGCGTGTTAATATAAAAGATGGAGACTTGTAAGCAAGTGTTAACGATCGTAGACGCTAGCGTTGTTTTCGAAGTTGTAATTTTCGTCCAAAAATGTTAGATTCGATGGGATCTGTTTAATCGTTGCTCTCTTCGCCGGAAATAATTATTTTGGTAAGACAACGAAATTATAAGCTGGTGATGAGTGATACAGGAAAGAAAATAAGTAATCTGATGTACTATCTTTTTATTTTATTACTCCTTGTCTCATACGTTTTTTGCGGTTTTATGGTTAGCGATAAAGCCTATTTTTTTGCCGAATTGTTACCTAATAATCAAGGTTGTTCCATAGCCTGAAATAATCGGCTTTTGACTCTAACTTTAGCATGGATTGCAAGTTATGTGCCCCGTTAATGTACCCCTTTATCTCTTGTGTAGAAGCATTTAGTTTTATGACAAACCTTTTAGCTTTTTCTTATTCCTGTTTGATCCTAAAGAAAAGCGATTTGTTGGAAGTGTAACATTCACAGTGGCCTACGGTTGGTTAGCTCTAATATTGAGAAAGAGTTAATCTTTACAGGCTGTTTTTTCAACGGCCGGGCATTTAGAAATACTGCACACATTTTTGTTCTTACATCAACAGAATACTCATGCGATATTGCGTTTTTGATAAAAGATTATATCTACTTGGTCATGAAATGAAATAGTGCAGTTATATCAGCTATCACTGCCATTATCTAAGAAGATGTTCTTGTATTTGAGTGTATCTATTTGTAGTACGGTAGTAGTTGCGGAGTACTTTTAGCGACAGCTTGTAAAACACAGTCGCAGATCAAGCGAGCCGCAGGTACGACCTATTCGTCAAAGACCTACTTAATTAATGCCGTGTTTTATGTAAATAAGCGAGTATGTACACTCACTGGGCGTTTTTTGCACGACTTCACGTCCAATATCTCAGTAAAGATTACTAGATATGTAACCTGCCTGCTCGCGGACTCACGGGGTAAAGTGGAAAACGCAGCTACAGACGGTTTTATAACTCTTCCACGGTTGTGCGGGTTTGCAGCGTGTAGTGACAGTACTAGCAGCTATTTCAGTGTTTGGGTGACGCAAATCAATATGGTCGACTAAATATTGCTGTATCATCCTCTCGTAACCTTGTCTCAGTGTCACAAGAAGACGTCTCACTGAACGTGCTCCGGTGACATGAAAAACTTTAATTTTGAAAACTTTGCTGGTAATCTTAATTCTTCAGTTAAAGAGATTACAAGAGATTACACTGATGCAGAATAGAGGCGCGTCCTTTCGGACTTTCGGTGAGAAAAAGGGCCGGGTGTTATCTCAAGTCAGAAGAAAACACAACGCTATTAACCTCGTCAAATTAAAAGTTAAACCTCTTTAAAATGGTGCAAATTAACCGATCAGTGAGACCTTTGATTAAAATTGTACTTTCCTGCCAGCATTCTTGTCAGGCCGTCTTCCTATCACTGCAAACTTTGCAGAGGTTTTTGGGCCACAATCAAAATTTTATCTTTCTTTGTCCAACCTACTTGGTGCATGCTTTAGCCAGTGTCGACTTTTCTTAGCTCAGCTGTCGCTCTTGGCGGTCAACGAATTAATGGGAATGGAATAAGCTTATGCGAAGAGCCGGTTGGGGAAAAAACTGTTCTATCGAAAACACATTGTTCAACTTTGTGTATTGCATTAAGGCTGCGTTATAGATTAGAAGTAAAGAGATGTTGTAAAACCGGCCAAATCGCAAGCTAGCCTTTAGCTCAAAGGAGTGAGGACCTTCGGATGAAATGCACTTTTTAATAGTTTATATATAAACGTCAGGTTGGCGCTTTCTCTTCGCGAAATAAAACTAATGCGTTCAAGACAAGAAGATTGGCATGACTATTAAATTTAAATTATCCTAGCTTTGGACCCCTATAAGTATCCGAAAGCGGTTTTTCTTTTCGCTTTGGCAGGCTGAGCGATGTTCATTATCCACGCTTATTCTGTTTTGATGTTCAGTAATCTAAAGTTTAAGGTTTGCCGTATAGTTCGCTGCAGTTATTGCCCGTAGTTACCACAGCCGTGAAAACTGTACATGTAATAAATTCAGGCCATCTTCCTTCAATTTATTTCGAGCTTTTTGAGATAATAATGCATGAATTCTGTAATTTGTCGATTAATGCTCAAAACAAATTCTACCCATGCATTATTGTCAAGTTTCTTTTAATCTTGTAATATGCGAGAGCTTCTTTAGGAAATAATTAAAACTAAATTTTCTGTGCTCCTTTAAAGGGGCTACATCAAAACGGGTGGCAGTAAACCAGAGAAAATAGCCCTTGTTCAGTCTGTCTTAAAGTAGCTCAGTCACGGTATTTTGAGTTAGTTTTGCCTCGTTCAAAATTACCTTGAAATTGAAGGAAACCTGAAAATAATAGTTTGCTAAGATAAAAAAACACCAAAGAGATGATAATGACCATTAGGGAACAAGGACGGTTAAGGATGGAGAAGATTAACACGGATTGTAAACGACGAACTTGAAAAATTTAGGCTGAACTTTTCAACATGCATAAACCGTGACCTAGGTCCTTTAAATCCTTGTTTTTTTTTTTGGTTTATTGTAGCCTTGGTAAAATAACTCCATTGAGGTTCCCTACGATTTGAAGGAATTCTGATTGTCACAAAAAAATAACGTAATTTATCTTGATCTTTCTATCAAAGAACCACCTACCTTGCCGGGTGCAAATTAAAGCCCACAGAATTTCACACGCTTATTCACTTCCGATCCATTAATAACGAAAGATTAATGATATCATCAGACCATCAACAGTGACACAGGTCAAATGAAAGTTAAATCCGGCAAAGAATGTAAACATTTTTGCTCGGCCAGATGCTCTCAACAATAACAGTGTGAGCTTATCTAGTCTCACATCTTCGATCGAAGACGGTTATCCCTTGTAAGGTGGAGGAATGCTCGAGCTCTCCACGAGGTATTTGAAGCTACAAGGAAAGGACAGTCGGAAGACGACAGTTTACCTTCTAAACGACAAGACAAGTATTATAATTTTCAGCAAAAGATTCGTTTGTTTTTCAAGCAGTGTGGCACGCGTGAAATTTGATGAGGTCAAAAACCATTCTTCGCAAATTTGCGCGCGTAATGTGTAGGAACGCGTGCTTTCAACACAACCATATTAGCCATTTTTAACATGTGCTTGCCAGACATATTCAACTGACCAACAATTTGTTAAACAGGACTGAACTAGAATACCGAATCGCCGTTAGGAACTAGGGTAGATTTTAAAGCCGTTATTGCGGGCGAGACTGAAGTCGAGCTTTGATTGAGCAGTAAAAAGATTAGATCTAAGCACTGGAAGTTTTAGTTTGGGCCGGAGTTTTGTTCCCAACCCTTCCCAGTTAAGTCTCTTTTCCTTTAATTACACTGGAATGTTGATTTTCAAACCTTTGAGGGAAACGAAAATTGTTTGGAAAAATCGGTTAGTTCCAGAAATGGGGGAAAATTACAGTGTCCGACTGAGGAGACGGAAACGACTGGAGGTTCGAGTTCATATCGGGAGGTTCAAAAACTCGAAACTTCGAGAAATCAACTTTCCATTGAAGCTGGTATTCCGCTGTTTGGTTTGATGATTACTACNAGAGTCCTGGAAAAATCAATCTGAGTCCTGGAAAAGTCCTGGAAATTTGTTTCTGAAAAAGGGTACGAACCCTGTGTATAGTCATCTACCATCTATCATTTGCACTCTACCAGGTAATACCCAAGTCATTCTGTATTGAGACAGTATGTGTGTCGTTCATCATCTTGTGACTGAAATGTTTAATTTCCTTGCATTATAGGACCACTTCCTTACAAAAGTGAGGCAAACGAAGAAAAACAGGAAGTTGTCACCACCAAAGTCCAGTCAGTTGAGGAACCAAATATCAAGCAAGAAGAATCTGTTGTTAACAAGATGCCTATCAAAAGATCGCCAGTGAATGAGGCAACTACAAAAACAATGAAGGGTAGACAAGAGGTCCTTAAGGTCTTTGCTACTCTACTGGTCTTCACATTTATTGTGATATTGCTTTTGTCTTTTGTTCGTGAAGTAGGAGATGGAAAGTCAAAGAATAATTCTTAATTTTTCACTCATTATTAGTGTACATAACAGTGCTTTTAGTATTTTAATGTTGAAATTATTTTAATTTTTACGTTAGTAACTATCAGTGGCAGATGAAGATTTGCTCATTAGAGTGGGCAAGTAGAGATGCATTTTTTTCCCTTGAGGTTGTCTGCTTCGAAACTCTTTCCTTAAAACTTTTCCTGTAGAGCTCTAGAGAATATCTATATACGTGTATATGTAACTCACATTAGAAAAATAGAAGAAAGTAATGTTTTCACCAGCTCATTTTGGAGATAGACAAATGACAGCATTTCTAAAAGTTTTTGGAGGGAGGTGATATGAAGAGCAATTATTTTGGTTTTAAAAAATTGAAATTTGAAGAACCTTAGGCAAAGATTTCTAAGTGAACTCTGTGCAAATGATCCTGCTGAGTAAACGTTTGTTATGAATGTTACAGTATTTGACCTCTTGTCTTTTACAGCCACATATTCAGAAAATTGGATCTCTTGTGAGTAGCAACAGTGAAAATATTACAGTTTTTACTATCATAATTTTTTGTGTGTGACTGGAAGTGTAGATTAGTGATAATTATAATCCATCAAATACTTTTGTTTGTGTGCGATTGGTTTAAACGCACCACATAATTGAAGATGGACTGGCTGAAACTGAAACAATTTTCAATGCTTCATGTGTTGCAAAAAATAGTTGAAGGATGATAAATACATTAACCTCCACTTGGTGTGAAAATGTGCTCGTATATTTGTCCTTGGACATTTTCTGTTCCTCAAAGCTTGCAGTTTTCCCGAGCTACACTCTCGAAAAACCATTCACTTCTTGGAAAAGATAATGTCCACGGACAAATATGATCATATTTTCACGCCAAATGGAGACAATTGTTTGCATATAGTGAATAATCATGAAAAAGAAACACAGAGGTCACCAGGTATCCAGGATTGTTTAATCAATGCAAAGCTTCACTGGAGTTGCCAAACAATAGGATACTTGTCTGGTTTCTTGCTCCGCACAAAAACTCTATTGATACATGTACAATGATGAATTACCTGCACAGCAAGGATGCAGACAAACATTTCACACGAAAATTCTTATTAAAGTGGAAAAAGCAAGCATGTTGAATATTTTTGGAACAAAAAGAGATCTGCCTTTAGAGATTTTTAACATGGTCTTTTATAGCTGAAGTAATATATTTCTACATGTTATTTTTGATACTGGAATTTACATGTATGTTTGCCATTCTTAGAAGGAAAGCTTCTATTGTTTTTAGTTTACTTTTAAGCAAATCAATAGGCCGTTGTCTTGAAAGTAATGATTTATCAATGATTTCACATTGAGCAAACGTTTCTACATACTTGTAAGATTGTTTAATAACATATTGATCAATAATATTCAGCAACAGATTTGATGATAATGATTTTACTGTTATTTAATATTGATTGTGTCAGATAATCACACACTTCAGGAGAGAATAACTGTTGAAATCTGTTGAAAAACCAGTCCATTGTTGACAAACTTGTAACACAGTGAAATTTGTAAGTCTGGATGTACTTAATGATTTGAAATTGGACACAAATTGGCAAGCAAGTTTGCTGTGAAGCACAATGTTTTAATTTCTTTCCAAATCAAATTCTTTCCGTTATCAAAATTTTAAAAGCAGTCCTTTCACACTGATGAAAAAAATGAAAACATGCAAATAGCAGTCTATGCAGCCAGAATCTGTGAACTCACAGTTTTTGCCGGTTGCTAAGCAACTTGATGTAACGTTGCCATGGCAACTACCAGTCTATCCAATTGTATTTAGGGAGTACAAGCTCAGGATATTTTTTGATTGCAAGATTCAATCTGAAACTCTTAGTGTTGTTGAAATGAAAGTTTGTCAGGAGTTTTCATGTGTGAATAACTGGACAAACAAGCCTACAGACCATTTTATGGTATGTTCAGTGTACAGATCATGGATACTGTGTAGTACATCCGATTATTTATCACGACTCGTGCTGAATCAACGCTTAGCGTCCTCAAGGTGTAAATTTTACAGTGGAAACCTCGTCTCTGGTTAGCATTTTAGCATACGTTTTAGTCCGTTTTGACAATACGTTGAAATAATGTCATCATACGTGTTTTGATGAGATCTGAGCGTACAGTGATGTAAATGTGTTGATTTTTTTTACTATGTGTGTCGGTTTACANGGAGTTTTGTTCCCAACCCTTCCCAGTTAAGTCTCTTTTCCTTTAATTACACTGGAATGTTGATTTTCAAACCTTTGAGGGAAACGAAAATTGTTTGGAAAAATCGGTTAGTTCCAGAAATGGGGGAAAATTACAGTGTCCGACTGAGGAGACGGAAACGACTGGAGGTTCGAGTTCATATCGGGAGGTTCAAAAACTCGAAACTTCGAGAAATCAACTTTCCATTGAAGCTGGTATTCCGCTGTTTGGTTTGATGATTACTACGTCTCGCTTGATAGACAAGACTAAAAGCTGCAGTACTTTTTGACCTTTTTTGTCGCAAAGGTTTAAATTTAGAACGAAACTGTGCTGTTGCAATTTCACAAGTTCATTCGTGTAAGGACAAGTAGGGCACGCAAAATTGGTGCGTAGTCCGAAGTCCCGCCTCTATTTTTGTTTTCCATCACAAAATCTTCATTTGTACCGGTACTATATTATCACCGTTGCTCAGATCTGCAGGTCTGATATCGCCAGTTATAGCCCCAAAGCAACTGAGTGGATCAATGTCTGGTATTTAAGGTAACAAAAGGTTCACTCCTTGAAGTGAGGAAAAACAGAATACTCTGTGTCCCTCTGTCGAGTGATCTGGCTGACTGTGTCACAGATCAACAATGTATTAAGTTAATTTTCGAGGAGAAACAGATCTTTGGCAGCCCCAAACGGAATGAAAGACAAAAGCTTCTTAAGCAAATAACAGCACATACGTTTTAATATTACACATAGTATAGACACGCCTTTTTGCACTGTCATGCCTAATTTGTTCGCTAGCGGCTTATTCCCGATAAGGTTATCCTTCTAAAATGATCCACTTTTGTTTTTTAAGAAGCGCGCGACAAGATATACTGTGTTTCCTTGGATGAGCTTTCTCTTGCAACTAGCAAGCGGGTCCAGCCGTATTATCAATCTCCAAAACCAAGCTAATCTCGTTCTAAAAAAGTTCCTAGCGATCAGGGTCATCGAATAGTGTTCCGCAGAAAGTTTGGGCTCGCCAGCTGTTGAGAGCATTTAGCGATAAATCGATCGTTTTCCCTCATCGTTGTTGAAACTTGAAGAACATTCGCTTTTCTAACGTAGGCAGCACTCGATTTCCGCAAGCAAATCGCAAATTTATTGCGCTCCAATAAAATGCTCATCAGTAAACTGCAACATTAAGCTAACTTCACGCCAAGGCAATTAACGAGCGCTTAATTTGCGCGATCATTACAGAAGAAATGAATTTCAAATCATGACTGGGCAAGGAATTCCGCCATAACTTGGATAACATCTGATCTCCAGGCGGCAAACGCTATCAAGATTTAATTAACCACGTTATCAAGACTTTGCACACGTAGGTATGAAGCGCTCAGAGCACACTGTCTTCAAACTGGGAGGTATTTAGGGATTATATTCCACACAGAAGCTCTAACGAGACGGAGCCTCTTGCGCACCAACTTGCGGGAAACAAGAAAACGTTTTTCTTAACAGTAAGGGCTGCAAACCATGGGAAAGTACAATCCTGCCATCGCGCCCACAACGGACAAACAGGTACCGCGGCGGCGTCGAAAGGGAAGTTCAGACACTCCGTCCCCTAACGCGCTGCGCGAAAGGGTACGTGCGCAAAACATGAAGAGGGCGTACTTGAATCTGCAGAAAACACTACCGCAAGTTCCACCTGATACCAAGTTACCGAGGCTTAATATCCTGTTATTGGCGATCGATTACATTTCCCATCTTCGCGGCGTCCTGCACAACGACGCTCCTGAAGAGGACCACTTCCCACAGAGCCCCGAGGAGAAATGCGGCATGTTTAGACCGTTCATTGAGGTAAGAGCACACACGAGAATTCACGTTCGTTAGAGTTGAACGTTAATCTTCTTTCGATCATTTATTCAGCTGAATTGCACTCATTCAAGCAATCTGTGAATGGATGGACGACACACTGAAGCATACTTTAAGGAAATCATCTCACTAACAATCTTAAAATGAAGTGCTAAACTCCAATCACAACAGTCGTGTTTATATTGCTCTACAAGTCAGAAGTTCGTGTAAACAGTCGTTCGTGGTCGGCGCCCTTTAGCCAAGCTCCTCTGTCGAACTGAACAATCTCGACAGAAGCATAAATATCTTTTTGTGTAAACATTTTGTAGGGCAATTATTCCTCCGCGGCTATGTCATATACCGCAAGATGAGAAAAACATAAGCACGCTTTACGCTGGTTTGAAACTTTCTCAGGTAGTTTCTGCTCCCAGACCTTACAATAAAACCTAGAAATAAGTATTTTCACAGCCAGAAACTTCTTACACTCAAGAAAGGAAGATTTTTTGTCTATTTGCGCGTTTTCGTGACGGCTTCAGAGATAGTGCAAGAAAATAGATAAAAAAGCACTTTGAAGAGCGACAAAGTTTATTGAGCTAATGAGTTTCCATTGTTTTGAGTTATTCAAAACAAGATGATTTGAAAAGTGCGATAACAGAAGTTTTTCCACATTTGGAAAACTCATCGAGAGAATAGTTTACTTTCTGTGCTTAAGTATACATTTATTTAGGCATAATCAGTCGTTAAGTAAATAATAAATGCCTTGTTTTGGCAGTCTTTAGTGCACCGTCACCTTCAGAAGATGGGCGGGCGGCAATGGCCGACATCATCATCAGAGTGATTCTCGTAATCAAATTTGCGCAAACCAGCGAAACAACTTAGCGCTTTCGTCACTCAAAGCCAATGCAAATTTCAGAATTTGGGGAATTTAAGCTGTACAAATTTGACTTCTACTACAAAGCATGATTAACAACAAGCTGAGAGAAGAAAACCGTACGTAGCAGCCGTTAAAAGGTTCAACGGCACTTTTGACCCTCCAACCGCGAAGCGTGTAAGCCCGTCATGCTCTGGTATGCTGACTGTTTCGCAGAAGTCTGATTTTACATCCAGTGGGAAGTGAAACAAAAACCAAAAGATACTCTAACGTAGGTCTCTTGCACGAACATAACTACTGAATTCTATAGATAAACATTAGAAAGATGTATTGTGGACTCGCAAAATGCGTGCATCGATCTGCAGACTTAAGCTCTTTTTCAAGGTATTTCAGAAATCCACTTTCGGAACTATTTTGTTCTATAGTATTTCAGTAATCTACTTCAGTGAGAAGATATGGAACTTAATTATTTTTCTGTTTGAAAAAAAAGGTAATACTTTAATTCCATCTTTTCAGTTTTCTCTCGGTTAGGATTTTCTGAGCATCGTCAGTTTCCAATACAAACAGCCACGAAACGAAATGTGAAGGCTCTAGTGTTTAAATTGTCTCACTGATTTCTCGATTCCATCCAGTCGACGGAAGAAAGTTTAAACAACAACCAAAAATTTGTTTTGGAAGGCCATGCATTACAGTTTTATCAACAACAGAATACTTAATTGTAATTTCTAAGTTTGATTATTTTCGTTAAATGAGGAAGAGAAACAGGTATTGATGAGAAATGCCTGACCATGATACAAAACTGACCATTATACACTACGCTTAATGTTTTCGAGCTAGTTGCCTGGACAGTACTGCATCAATCTACCAATTTCTTGGTTGTTTAGGGTTAAGCTGTTTACTGTGTTTTCGCGGGCTAAAACAAGGGTTTTTTAGGAGAATAACAGTGTCTTCTTGGGTTATAAAANCCTCCAACCGCGAAGCGTGTAAGCCCGTCATGCTCTGGTATGCTGACTGTTTCGCAGAAGTCTGATTTTACATTCAGTGGGAAGTGAGACAAAAGCCAAAAGATACTCTAACGTAGGTCTTGTGCACGAACAGAACTACTGAATTCTAAAGATAAATATTAGAAAGATGTATTGTGGACTCGCAAAATCCGTGCATCGGTCTGCAGACTTAAGCTCTTTTTTAAAGGCATTTCAGAAATCCACTTTCGGAACAATTTTGTTCTATAGTGTTTCAGTAATCTACTTCAGTGAGAAGATATGGGGCTTATTTTTCTGTTTGAAAAAAAAGGTGATACTTCAATTCCATCTTTTTAGTTTTCTCTCGGTTAGGATTTTCTGAGCATCGTCAGTTTCCAATACAAACAGCCACGAAACGAAATCTGAAGACCCTATTGTTTAAATTGTTTTACTGATTTCTCGATTCCGTCCAGTCGACGGAAGAAAGTTTAAACAACAACCAAAAATTTGTTTTGGAAGGCCATGCATTACAATTTGATCAACAGCAAAATATTTAATTGTAATTTCTAAGTTTGATTCTTTTCGTTAAATGAGGAAGAGAAACAGGAATTGATGAGAAATGCCTGATTTAGCCCTTCAAAACTGACCATTATACACTACGCTTGACGTTTTCGAGCTAGCCCGGCCTTACCTGGACACTACTGCATTATACTGTCAGTTTCTTGGTTGATCAGGATTAAGTTATTTACAGTGTTTTCGCGGGCTAAAACAAGGGTTTTTAGGAGAATAACAGTGTCTTCTTGGGTTATAAAAACATAAGATTTGGGCTTCGCTGTGTATCCAACATGCGGGGTAAAGCTGTCATTCTACACGGCGCGAAGGGACACTGGGATACTTATTCTGTATCGTTGATTTCTTGCAGAAGTGGCCAGTCAGATGCCAGCTGTTGTCCGAGTTTTTGAAGCCACAACTTAACGAGAAACAACTAAGACAGCAAATTGCAGTGAAGGAGAAGTAGAGGGAAAAGTTGTCGGTTGGGAATGTTGGAAAAATGTGTCCTAAAACGAACTGTATCGTCGTTTCTTCGTAGCGAGCGCTCCAAAGCGTCTGTTTTCTCTCTTGAATAAACTATTTTTGTAGTATTGAAATCCCGACTTAACCTTTAGGCCGAGAGATGAAGATACAATTCACTTTTTTCCGTATTCCCCTGAGCCTTGAAGCCAAATACTTATTAAGGCAATTCGTATATCTGGGAAGAAGTCAAAGAGCGAGAAACCTATCTGTTCACTCATCATCCAAAAACAAACATATTTCTTTTCGTGAAACAATACAGCTTGACGTGCTAGTAATAACGATTTGCATTTAACTTATACGACCTATAAATGTCAAACGCAGTTGCAACGTTTATTTTGTTTATAGTTCTTCGTCATCCATTTTCAACTTTTTAAATTTAGTTTACGTGTAACTAAACTTGTATCTGCCACTTTCTTATGAACTTGGAATAAGTTTGTGAATAAATAAGCAGTGTAAAATAAACGCCCTTCTTGGACCTTGCTTGAGTAATACACGTTTTTCCAGGTATAAAGTGTTGATTGTCTTTTTGAGAGAAATCTCAAGAAAGACTGACGTATCGACAAGAGGTACCGGTGCCGAGAAATAATTACTTCTCATTTAACCTGACAGGTTCTTAAAATCGTGATCAGTTTTCAACTGACCTCGCTTGTGGCAAGCTTTGTTGAAGTCCCTAAGAGCGTCCCGCACCGCTATAACTGAACAACAGTCTGTCTCCAAATCAATATCGCTACTGAGAAAGACTACTAAGCCAGTCCGGTTCAGATTGTATGCCACTGGGTAACGTCTTCGCACAAGTTACTAAGTGGACCAGAGACAGACAGACAAACAAGACAGACAGACAGACAGACAGACAAGACAGATAGACAGTCAGACAGACAGACAGACAAACAATAAGACAGACAGACAGTACCAGTATAGACAGTACCAATGGACCATTAGACTCTGTCTACTGTCTGTCATTGTGTAACATCTGCATGCGTACACGTAATTCAGTGGACCAGACAGACAGCATCAGTAGACCAGTAGACTCTATCTACTGTCTGTCATTGTGTAACGTCTGGGTACAAGTAACTCAAGATTGTTCAGTTTTGTTACGTTGTGTTCTTCTTTGCGTTCTTCCCCACGGATTTTCGAGCAAAAGTAGAGACTGCTCGCAGTTTACGGACAGACAGTACCAATAGACCAGTAGACTCTATCTACTGTCTGTCACTGTGTAACGTCTGTGTAAATTAATTGGACCAGTAGATTTTTTAAAAAAACCTTCCTCCAACCAAGCTCAAACTGCTACTTCTCCTTAATGGCTGCCATGCATTTTTTTCAAAGTTAGTTAATTGTGAAAAGCTGGCAGCATGAGGAGCTTGAATTGGTCATGGCTCCTGGTCAAGGATGCCACAGGTAAAGAAATGGTCAGGGAAAAGTCAGAGAATTTTATTTTGAATCAGAATTTTGAAGAAAAGCCAGACAACATTGAAATTATAACACTGCTGATTTCATACCATTGAAGGCTGAAAAAAGCATTTCAGGTCACTGTGATCTCAGCAATGTTTGTACTTAACAAAAGGGTTAAATTTGCAAGTGAAAATATGAAAGATCATATATTTGAACTGCGGAGAAAGAGATGAAGACATAATTGTTCATCGCAGTTATATACACAATTTAAGCCTGGAAAAAAAAAAAATTCAGGCCTGAACAGGATTCAAACCCATGACCTCTGCGATATCGGTGCAGTTCTCTACCAACTGAACTATCGAGCCAACTGGGAGCTGATCATGTTGTGAGTTCGTTATATGCCCGTAGATGGTGCAGAATGCAAGTGAATATATGAAAGATCATATATTTGAACTGCGGAGAAAGATATGAAGACATGATTGATC